GAGAGAGAGAGAGGGTTTAACGACCACTTGACACAAAATAGGTCATTTCGGGGCTAACATAATTTCAATTTTTATTTTATTAATTTGCTTGCATTTAGGGGAGGAAACCAGAGGACCCGGAGAAAACCCACAAGGTTGGACAGGCGACCCTACTCATTGTCACGTACAACCGGGTTTGTCAAGAGGAGAATTTGATCAGGGCAGCAACACATTAAAGAACATAATGAATACTAAATCTGGTGGTTAAGTTGGTAAGGCACTGGCTCGCTAGTCTGGAATTCGGGTGTTTGATCCCTGCATTGGCCGAGAAAGTTCATCCAGATTTTCCGGTGTGATTCTCCCTTGTCAGTGATGCAGGACGAAGGGGCTGACAAGGAAAGCTGTCTAGTCGTTCGTATGGTACGAAAAAACGAGGTCCTGTGTGTACACATTGGCGTGCATGTAAAAGATCCCTTGGCAGTTGGAATTCGATATAAGAGTAGGCCGTAGTGCTGTTGTCCGGGCAAAATTTCCCTCATATAGCACACTGTATGGCGTATGCCTGTATTCATTAGCCCAGTTCGGAGCAAAACAGTAGGACGTTAAACCCCATTTCATTTCATTTCACTAAATCTGCCTGTTGCAGGTCTTTATTTTGGCCTCAAACATTATATGAATTATTATTTAGACATTTATTCACATGGCAAGCCCAAAATCAACTCTCTAGATCATCAGATGATCATGATTTTCAATGGACTGAAACACGAATGCCAATTAATAATTTAACTAAAAAATAGATAAACAAGACTTTTTTTTTTTATTGTTACTACATTAGTACTCGACAATCGAGACAATGTAATATATTTGACTGGAATTTTTAATATCAATTTTTGAACTATTATAGCAAGAACGGACATCTCTTTATCTAAATCTTACAAAAATACATCTTTATCAAATACTGAAAGTTTCAATATATCTATTTTTCATTATCTATTTTTTAAACTATTTATATAGCAAAAACAGCCATCTCATTGTCTTAATCTTACACAATGCATCTTTAATTACATAAAAAGAATCAAAACATAAAAATTTTTCTTCTATTGTTTTGTGAAACACAACAAAATTACAAAAATGTCTAGAATTAACAAGAATGTTTAACATTCAGCGGAAATGCAGCTTGATAGAAATGTTTAGAATTAACAAGAATGTTGAGCATCCTGTTGAAATGCAGCTTGTCCTGCTGGTATAAGCAGCTTAAAGAAAGTAGAGGGAAAGACAAGCTGGATATTTCAACACAAATAACTTGAAAGTGGTACGAGATTTTATAGTATTGATTGGTGGCTCGCGGATTACCAGATATATGACAAGACTGAGTGACACAGGCCCATTGTTTAAAATTAGCACAACAACTAACTGGACATGTGCAACAGGGCATTCACAGTTTAATACCATACTTCCCAACCATCAATAGAAAACATCAAAGCCAACTGATGGGACTTAATAACTGTGTTATCACTCCTGATAATACATCAATTTATTTGTGCACATGAACTCTTCATAAGAGATAAACTGACGCTCTGTGTGTTTCAATTTATAGACATAAAATATTGATGTAGTCTTGAACATGTCTTTTGGTGGGTTTTGAATGCCTTGTAACAGAATCTCAAATATAAATATGGTTCAACTTGCAACGTTCCATACTCTCTGCAGAATACATACGTATATCAACCACATATAAACCAAAATGGCCTAAATTTTGTCTAAATTCAATGGAAATTTATATCAAATATTTATTGAATAGGTCATTCCTAGTAGTTTTGTTTTTAAAAGACGTGGCCAATCTCTATGCTATATGTTTACAATATTGACAATAAGGGGGGGAGGAGGTACCATCTGCCCAGACTGAGAGAGAGAGAGAAATGCGGTTTAACGTCCACTCAACGCAGACTTGGTCATTTCGGGACTAATATATGGTTTAATTTTATTTAAATAATTGGCTTGTGCGTAGGGGTCTTTAGCAGTGGGAGAGAAACGAAGGACCTGAAAAAAACCCACAAGGTTGGACAGGCGACCCTACTCCTTGTTACGTACAACCGGGGGAATCGATACCAACCAGTTGACTCAATGACAGACCTAATGATACAGTGTACACTTGCTCACCATTCGGCCATGGGGGGCCCAAGTAAACCAGTTGGTCTGAGGGTCCAGAGCCACAAAGTCTGTCCCTGTCGGCCAATATTTTTTAAATGAAATGAAATGGGGTTTAACGTCCTACTCCGAACTGGGATAATGAAGACGGGCATACGCCATACAGTGTGCTATGAGGGAAATTTTGCTCGAGCAGCGGCACTACGGCCTACTCTTATATTGAATTTCAACTGCCAAGGGATCTTTTACGTCCACACTAATGTATACATAGGACCTCCTTGTCAGTCCAATATTTTTCAAATATTCATGTAATATCACTTCTTTCTCAAAAACTGTAGGCAAATAAAATTTCCACTACAATTCAATCATATCCCTAATCATTTCTTTGCACTTGACAGCATTTGTAACTCGACGCAAACTAGGTCATTTCGGGACTAACATATTGTTTTATTTTGACACTTGGTTTAATTTTATTTCAATAATTTGCATGTGCGTTGGGGTTTTTAGGTGTAGGAGGAAAGCAGATGACTCTGAGAAAACCCACGAGGCGACACTACTCCTTGTCACAAGCAAAGAATCAAAACCAAGACATTATCACTCAATGACAGACCTACTCTTATATCGAATTCCAACTGTCAAAGAATCTTTTACGTACACGCCAATGTATACACGGGACCTTGGTTTTTTTGTCCCATCCAAACGACTAGACAGCTGTCCTTGCCAGGATCTCCATCCTGCATCACTTACAAGGGGGAACCACGCCAGAAAATCTGGATGAACTTTCTTGGCCAATGCAGGGATCGAACACACGACCTCCAGGCTAGCGAGCCAGCGTCTCACCCACTGTGCCACCCATCACCTAATGACAGACCTTATGATCTGAAATGACATGTGGTTTAACGTGCTACTGTTCTGCACCAACTGGGATAATGAAGACAGGCATACGCTATACAGTATACTATGAAGCGCAAGTGGTGCTACTACATAGGCCTACTCTTAGTCGAATTCCAACTACCAACGGTTCTTTTTACATTTTTTACGTCCTAAACGAACCACGACCAGGGACAATTCCTTGCCAGGTAGTCCGTCCTGCATCACTGACAAGGGTAAACCATGCTGGAAAATCCTGAGGTACTTTCTAGTCCATTGGGATCGAACCCAGGACCCCACCTCCCCCTACTGGTTAGTGAGTATGTACCTCACTCACTAAGCCACCGCAGCTCGATCCCCTATCTTGATCCCCTATCTTTATCAGACAAAATCGTAATGTATATGATAGGCTAAAAACATGACTGTAGAATGATTCTGTTACGTTGAGTTGAATCTCTGTACTCTTGACGCACTTGGTGGCTATGGATTGACACAAATTTAACCCTGCCCAATTCACTTAAATGGAGAGAGAGAGAGAAAGAGAGAGAGACGGGGTTTAACGTTTACTCGACACAGGCTAGGTCATTTCGGGACTAACATATGGTTTGATTTTATTTCAATAATTCGCTTGTGCGTAGGGGTCTTTAGCAGGAGAGGAAACCGGAGGACCCAGAGAAAACCCACGAGGTTAGACAGGCAACCTGGCTCCTTGTCACGTACAACCGGGGATTCGAAACCATGCCAGATGACTCAATGACAGGCCGTATGATACAGCACGCACATACTAACCATTCGGCCATCCAGCCCCCCTTTCACCTAAACAGTAAAAACTACAAATTTCTAGCCCTTTGAAGTGGTTGTTGCATTTGACATTGTTGCTTATATCAGGTGGACAATTTCTTCTAAGGTTAGGATTAGGATCAGGTTTTGATTTATAGTATTAACTGAGGATAATAACTTCTGTTAGCATATTATAATATACATGTATATATATGATTCTGAAAATGCTCAAAAAAAAAAAGAAGAAAATTCACCAAATTTTAAAAATTTATGAGTCGGATATTTCGATATACAGCTAGAGCGGAGGCTACAATTATTAATATGATACAATGTATACATGTATGCAACAAAGTTGGTATTTAATTTAATAACATGGCCTCGATAAAGGATTTTTCCTAAGTTTTGTATTAAATCTTAGCTGACGTACACAGCAAAACAGTATTTATTAATATGTTTTTTTTAAAAAATAATATATACTTTATTTAGATTTACATCTGAATAGGTATTGGGGAACAGGCATAGCCTATATTAAACCCCTCTCCCTTATTGATACGATATATATGCACTATGCAGTAAACTTGCTATTTAATTTGACAGGCGATGATGCCATGTTCTCATTAACTTCATTAAGGATTTTTCCCAAGTTTTGTAAATATTAGCTGGAACAGTGTAATGCTATTTTAGCTCTCTTCTATCAGCTGATTTCAATGGACAATCCTCAATCGCCACAAATGTATAAATTAAAACCTATTTTCAAGAGCAGACATCATTATTCTGACATTACAATGCCAGGCAATTATCCCTTCCAGAGAGGAACTGCCAACTGGCACGGGAAAAATTAGGCCATTTCTGTCTATCTAATATTATGTAAATAAAGAATGTCGGATAGACTTAATAATAGACACAGATAAAAGTGAACATACTTACGGCCTAAAACGGACACATGTGATTTTCGGTTTCACTTGCCATAGTCGGTCTTGCGTTTCTTTTGTCACGTTGTGTCAAACACTGACAGGTCAGTCATGTGTTGCTTCTAATGTTTTGACGGGAAAATTTGTGGGCGGTGCTTATATTGTAGGATTTGATTGGCTTAAATTGTATTTAAATATTATCACCAAGAATGAATGAATACCTAGATTAAATTATGAAATTATTAAACGCTTTCGGTTATTCTTATAAAATCCTTACAAGGCATTTAGATTGATAAACATTCATTTTTGAGTGAAAAGTATTTAACGTAATTCATTTTCTGCGGAACTGAAAAGATGTCAGCGCCCTTCAAAGAGCACAAAGCAGACGAATTGTTATGAAACTTGAGGTAGAAATATGTTGATTTCGTAAGAAGACAGGCTTTTATGCGGATCTATGACCTATAGAAAATACTGAAATAGTTTAGAAAATGCACAACTAAATTGATATATAAATTTGTTTATGTCTTTGAGAAAATTGTTTCATTATTTTTTATTAAAAGGCATCGGTTATATAAATTTTGGCTTATGTAATAACTTATAAGATGTGATAATAAGACACAATTCTACAAGATACAATTAAAGGAGCTAAATCGCTAACATTTGGGGCCTAGAAATTGACAAAAGTGGGTCGAAACGCATATAATACTGTAATATGAATGTATATAAACTGATTTACATTCATCAATGGTTTCCGTTTTTACTCCAATTTCAAATCAGTTATGTTCAACGAAATAAGCCAGCAGTCTCAGACGAGTGCAAATTTCTAGCGTCTGGTTATTCCAGTCTACATACGCCGTTTGATTTGGTGCAATATGTCTAGCCTCGTCCCTCGAGTCTCTTGATACAACTGGAGCTGAAGCGCATTATGCCATTATGGTACACGATTCGTGTACCAATGGTAAAATGTTTATTTTGTCTTAAATATTGGATATCAAAAGCCCATCTTTTCCCAGTAAGATCACAAAATGAATGTTGATTTAATTTGACAAATAAATCGTGTTTTCAATGTTGAAGATTTTGGATGATATTGAGTTAGAGACTTAGCTACTTTAAGCTACAGTTTATGTCAAAGCGACATTTTCGTCTTGAATTCTTAAATCTAAATCAAGCTAAAGAAAACCTGTTAGCCTTTGCTCTTTAGTACACAAGCCAATACAACTTGAATCAATAACCCAAATGAACAATGATCATTTGCCACTAATTACATTCAAGGTGACATTAATCGATTTTAATGCATCCATTAATTAAGCTGATTGCAAATAACAAGTTACATGGACTTGCTGATGATCAGGTTCGGTGGCATCATTAGGTCTTAGCGTGCAGTGCAGCTAAGCGTAAAGGGATGGAATGGAGTCTGGGACCCCCCCCTCCCAAATTCTGGCGACAGAAAATCCTAGTGCCCAAAAGTAGCTGTTTGCAAGTAGTTAGCCTTGCCTAGGAAACAAAATAATCTGACAAACAAGCAATGGATAGTGAATCATTTCATAACATTCTTTTCAATTTGAAATCGAAATTGTCGTTTTTATTGGATTTTATGTGATGAAGTCAGCCTTCATTCACGGGCAATTATAAATTCAGAAATTTTCCAATTTATTCTATTTGTACTGATATAAGGTATTTTTTTCTGAATTTATAAATTTGTAGAAAAGTATATATTAATATACAAAGCAATATATATGCACAGATGTCACAATTCAGAAGTTTTTCTGAATTTGATACGCTGTAATATATATATTAAGACAAAACAAAAATAATATTTATGAAGCTACACAAGTGATTCCAGTGTTTTATGCAAAGGTTTGAAAATTGGCGAAATCAAGATTTTTCCAGGAAATTACATTTTTTTCCTAGTCCTTCTGTGTGACTTCCGGTGTACCCCAAAGAGTCTGTCCTCAGACTGATCTTGTTTAGCTTATACACTAAACCACTTGGTCTCAGTGGCGGTGCCAGGGGGGTCAAGTGGGGGCATTTGCCCCCCCATTAATCTGGTCTGCCCTCTGTTTGCCCCCCCCCCAATAATTTTAGAAAATAAAAAAAAGTATTTGTGATACGTTTCGGTAATCAATACCTTCTACAGTGAATAAATCCCACATCCCCACTCAGTCATAAAACTTGCATGTTGTAGAGCATTTCCGACAGTCTATTTTTCAAAATTTTCTTGGCGAGGTCCCCAATGGACTCGCTACTTCGGCGCTCAAAAGGGGAATTCGTTGAGGTTCGCAAGTCAGTTCGTTTGACATTTTGTTCTCTAGTCGGATATAAACTAGTGATCAGGCGACGAACGGTATCTGGGCAGATCTATTTATCTCGACGATCGGTGCCTGACAGAATACTGTAAGACAGCATTTCTGGCAGTTTATTTTTCAAAATTTTCTGGGGGAGGACTCCTTACTTTGACGCTCTTGAGTGGGCTTTGTCATGATTCGCAAGTCCGTTCGTTTGACACTTTACCTCAGTGCCTGAAATACTGCCAGGCTGCATTTCCGGCAACCTGTTTTTCAAAATTTTCTGGGGGAGGCCCCCTACCCCTAGTTAAAGCTCGTGCCTTTGCCCCCTTAACCTTGGACTTTGCCCCAGCTTTGCCCCTCCAATCACCGACAGCTGGCGCCGCCACTGCTTGGTCTTATATTAAGTTATATCAGTACAGCTAATTGAATACAGAAATTTTGAGAATACATGTAAATGAATTCCCTTCATGCATCGTTAATGTTTTAACTTCGATAATTAGTTTAGTCTATGCTTATTTACGGTATATATGATATTTTTTCAAAATTGATTACGTACGAGCGTATATTTATTTTCTTGGTAGAAATGTTTATTCCCCTTTAATATATGACATTCTTTTAAGAACCCTGGATGTTAAGTAACAGTTTTTGGTAATAAATTTGACAAATATGACTTTACTAATAATAATTTTTACTTTATTTGGGTTTCTTTGCAGACATATTGAATCTACTATCTGTCGAGATGATTCGTATTAGACCAAGTTGTCAAATCATAGCTTGTCAACTCTGTTCAACTTCCAGTACGTCAAGGACTACCTCTAATACTTGTAAAACCACGTCTCTAAAAGAAAGAAGAACTAGAGTTAAGTTAGATAGGATTATTCGTGTTGATCATGCGGGTGAATTAGGGGCTGATAGAATATACGCTGGACAATTAGCTGTTCTTGGAAACACAGCAGTTGGGCCAGTCATTAAGGTAAATTTTATACATTTTACCAACAAAATTAGACTTTAATGGTCACTTATTATTGGTTGTCTGTGCTCATGGATTTTACATGTTTTAATCACTCCACAGACAAGGAGTAGGGTACCCTGTCAAACCTCATGGGTTTTCTCCGGTTCCTTAAACTCAATTTCTCTCTCTCTCTTATTAGCCCAGTCGGTGAAGAACGGTATGACGTAAAACCCCATTTCATTTCATTTCATTTCTTGACCATTTAGCCAAAAATAAATCTAGTAGGGCAATGGTTTAGTTTACTCTCTCAACCCTGGAACAAGATGACCCCTGTATTTTATCCTGAATTGCCCAGGTAGGCCTAATTATAGTGAATTACCATTTATCTGGATTCTTTAAAACCTAAAGATATATACATTATGAGAGATTTAGACAAAGAGCTGACCTTCTTGCTATTATAGCTCAAAAATAGATACATGTAATGTAAAATGAAAATATTGAAAATTTCATTCAAATTACTTCATTCTGAGCCAAGTGATCTCTGTTCGTAGTTTTGACAAGATGTGTGCTTTATGGTAACCAGGGCACAGGTATATTCGAGACTTAGCCTTGCTTTCCCATTTTTAAATTAAATTTTTAAATGGCGAACCGTTTTAATGTAGTTAAAATGTAGAGTATCCGATTCCATCAAGGGTTGATTATGATCTTGTTTTGTTAATAAATGTCTAATTAATAGTTTATATAACATTTCAGGCCTTAAAAAAGGCCTGCAATAGGCAGATTTAGCTCTTGAATAATGTATGTTTAAATGAATTTACTTTCATTCTTCAGAAAATGTGGGAAGAAGAAAAAGAACATTTAAGAAAATTTGAAGAATTAATGGTTGAACATAGAGCTAGACCAACTGTTCTATTACCGATATGGAATGTGGCTGGATTTGTTCTTGGTAAGTATTGATTAAGTTTACTATGTTCTTAGTCCCGAAATGACCTAGTTTGTGTTGAGTGAACCTTAAACCCCATTCCTCTCTCTCTCTCTCTCTCTCTCTCTCTTTTTAACATATGGGCCACTAGCACCCTGTTCTCTATCGTGCCATCTTTCTGAAAATTATTTGACCTTTTCTTGAAATTATTTGACATTTTTTAAAAATTATTTGGCATTTTTTACAAATTAAAATGTTTATTATATTTATGATTGTCCCATTATATTCGTAATTGAAATCAGCCTCAGTGGTCATTTAATGAAATTACTGTTTTTATGGGTGCTGCTGCTGAGGGGGCCACGGTGGCTCGCTAGTCTGGAGGTCGTGGGTTCAATCCTGGTGTTGGCCGAGAAAGTTCATTGGAATTTTCCAGTGTGGTTTTCCCTTGTCAGTGGTGTGGGACAGAGGGCCAGACAAGGACAACTGTCTAGTCGTTGGGATGGAATGGAAAACCAAGGTCCTGTGTACACATTTGATTGCATGTAAAAGGTCCCTTGGCATATGCCAGTTTTTACTTGCCCCGTCGGAGCAGAACAGTAGGATGTTAAACCCTGTTTTATTTCCATGTAGGTGCTGGGACAGCTTTATTAGGAAGAGAAGGAGCTATGGCGTGTACAGTAGCTGTAGAAGATGTTATTGGTGACCACTATAATAGGTAAACTCTTAATTAACATGGTAATTTAGATAAGTCGCAGGCTGTTCTTGCTATAATAGTTCGAAAATAGATAATGAAAAATGAATATTTTGAAAATTTTATTCAAATGAGCGAAGTTGTAATTGTTTGAAGTTTTGACTATATGAAGCATGGTACTTGACCATCAAGACTGAAGTAATAATATTGATACTGCATGAGGATGTAAGTCAGAGTATTGTTTTCAATAATACTATAGATAATATTTGATTCCCCAGTTGTAGGGTTGCCTGTCCAACCTCATGGGTTTTCTCCAGGCCCTCCGGTTTTCTCCCACTGCTGAAGATCCCTTACGCGCAAGTGAATTATTGAAATAAAATTGAACCATATGTTAGTCCAGAAATGACCTAGTTTGTGTAGAGTGGCGGTTCAATAGCCAATATAACTGTTTTAAGGGAGACAATCCATATTTTTATCACAAGCCTTATAGGGGCTGCTAGTGTGTGAGACGTCATCTTCAATAGAAGGCTTGATCTCGCTTTAACTACGTACATCTTATCAAGGCCTTCATGTAATACCCTGCATATTGCGGCACTAATTTCGATTGGGTACAAGCCCAACTTGTGAGCCTGTAGATTCCTCGATCGTCGCGAATACCAAGTCTAGCGCTTTCAAGCTAAAATGTCTACCTGTGATAATCGAGTTGCAAAGTTCAAGGTTCATTCAATGTCAAGGTTTCCGTGGAGGTCGCGATGTCACAACCTCTGATTGGACGCTACTGCTCACGTGTCTGTAGATAACATAGCTATAAGTTCGAGAATTGTGAAGTAAACAAGCAACGGCCAAATGTTGTGAAACTCGCAGTCGTTGCTTCAGGAACAAGGGGAGACGTGTGTATGTGAACATTAAGAATAGAGGCAAGAGGGAAAATTATGAATTTGATTTTAGGTATGGTGGTTACTCAGGTTCCAGCCCTTGTTCTCCATCTAACTCTACCTTAAGTTAAGAATCTACTCAAGATTGTTCCCTTTATTTTAAATAAAATATAGCCCTTTATAAAACTTTTGTTGTTTTAATGTATCAGATACATCAATAAGAAACTATGTGCAATGTTTTGTGTTTCTGGATCAAAGATATTTCTCATAAACAGTGATTGAAAGTTGAGTAAATTCTTAACTTAAAAGTAGTTTTGGTATAGTTGCTTAGGTTACAGACCTGGTTCTTTACCTGATTCTGTCAGATCTCCAATAATTTAAGTATGGTAACCTTGGTTACAGACCTAGTTCTCCACCTGATTCTGTCGATTCCAGTCCCTCATAATATTTAATCGATAATATTTTAAAATCTCGTCCAACTCATTTCAGTCAAATTCGTGAATTAATGGAGGATGATCCTGAAAAGCACGCTGAAATATTAAAGGTTAGTAAATGACAAAGAATCAGGCTCAAAATTGTATTTAAGTTTCAGGCGGGGGGCGCTGTGGCTCTGTGAGTAACAAACTAGCTCGCTAACCAGAACTTGGGTTTGCGTTTATAGGGGGTTGCGCTGTGGCCCACCAACCAGAAGGTCTCAGGTGTGCTCCCAGTGTTTGAGTTTATGGGGCAGGGGGCACTGAGGCGCAGTGAGTAAGACCAGGAGGTTTTGGGGTCGCTCCATGTGTTACGTTTATCAGAGGGGGCGCCGTGTCTCGGCGAATAAAACCCTGGCTCGCTAACCAGGAGATCCTGGGTTTACTCCTGGTGTTGGATGGGAAAATTCCTCTGGATTTTCGAGCATGTTTCCAGTGGGACAAAACACAAAGGTCGTGGTAAAATTTCCCTCATACCACACTGCATGATGCGCAGAAAAGTAGGACGTTAAACCCTATTTCATTTCATTTCAAAATTTTATTTGAGTTTATCTTGGGTGTTTCTATTTGAGTAGTAGTCAGTCAACCTTCAACCAGTAAATATGATGTATCTTTACTGGCATTCATTTTTGATAAATTAATTGTATATATTTATTTGTTTTGAAGACAATAAAGAAATTTCGTGATGATGAACTTCACCACCATGATACCGGTTTAGAACATGATGCCGAAAACGTAAGTCATATAACACTTTGGTCCTTAAGACAAATTTGGTTCTTTGCAAAATTGTTGCTTCACTCTGTCTATAGAGTCAAATCACACATACTTAATGAACGTGAATATATAGTTATACATAAAAAACAGTGATATTTTGGTTAAATCATAACCATTGTCAAGATATCCATCAAATTCTGGCTGTTAATTGACCTATGGTTGGTAGACCAAATAAGGTAATGTCTCCTCCTTTAGTCGTGTGAAATAAAGAGGTTTATTCCATATATGGGATGGAAATTAACATCAAGGCTATCGAAGACCTGCAGAAATTAGGTGGTATAAATTAGGGGGTATAAATTAGGTGGTATAAATTAGGGGGTATAAATTAGGGGGTAGAGAGAGTTGGATCAGAGCTCATTCAGAAATTCCTAGCAGCCATTATATTGAGAACGAGGAACCTTCAAAGCCATTACAGCTTAGCAATAAAGTTGTAAAACCATTGATGCTGTAGTCTTGTTACGATCACGAAGAAACAAACACAAGAAAAGAAGTCCGATAGTACTACAGTCATTAAACCTTACAAAGGATTTTCCTTGAGTGTGAACATTGATCGCCTACCCCAATCATGCAATTTTTGGACAATATTTAGAATTTCAGTGTACTTAAATTCATTATTCAACATATAATTAATCAGAAAAAAACCTCTACCCTACATTTATAGGTGGGGCTGACTTATTTACAACATCTGGGTATGGCGACCGCTGTCGCGATGCTATATATATATATTGTAATTCATTTGCTACAATATGATTCGTATTGCGATCCATAACCAAGTCTGTCATTGAGTCAACTGACGGGGTTTCGAATCCCCGGTTGTATGTGACAAGGAGTAGGGTCGCCTGTCCAACCTCGTGGGTTTTCTCCGGGTCTTCCGGTTTCCTCCCACTGCTAAAGACCCCTATGCGCAAGCGAATTATTGAAATAAAATTGAACCATGTCTTAGTCCCGAAATGACCTGGTTTGTGTCGAGTGGATGTTAAACCCCATTTCTCTCTCTCTCAATACTTACTAAAAAAACATAAGGATAAATAAATAATTTATTTATTTTATTCGAGTCACTAAAACCTGGAAAGTAAATTGCAATTACTGTTCAGGTCAAATTAAGGACCAAACAATTTATGAGTGTTTGCGTAACCTATGGATAATGTGTGACATGGATAATTAAGAGTGGCAGGTTACTTACTGAAGCCACAAAAATAAACATAAAAAAAATTGCGATACATTGATTCAGTGTCTTGCGATTCAATATGTGGATGGCGAGAAGGTGAATTGCGATACATCGATTCAATGATATATCATGCCAGCACTAATCTGTATAGAATACCAAATGTTGCAAATTCTTTTAATTCATCATATCTTTGTACACACTGAATGGAATTGAGATGTTTTTGGAACTGATATTCTTTTTAAACATTCAACTTTTACAAGGTTTTGACGATTCTAAAATTAAAATCAAATTTTTAAGCTGCTTTTGTTATCAGGAAGGGTTATGTGTGTGGTTTACCTGTCGAGTGCAAGATATTAATTAATACATTGATACAGCACAAACGTGCTATCCTGCGCGTGCTTTTCAGTGAAATCATCACACAAGTCCAATATTTCGTCCAGTTTAAAAAAAATTATGTTAGCCAGAGGGTTGTATCAATATATTACACAATATTTCCCTCAAGACCATCAAACAATTTAAAAAACAGACACTATCCTTCATGTGCATTTCAGGGAAATCGGTACGCAAGTCCAATATTTCATCTAATTCTAATAATGTACGATTGGCATGTTGCCCGTGCATTTATTTAAATAATGGTACACCGAAATCAAAGGATCACGTCACATCTGTATTTTAACATGAATTATTTTCTCAGTTGTCAATATTTTTTCGTATTTCAGGCTCCATTTTACAAAGCTTTAACACAAGTGATAAAAATTGGTTGTCGAGGAGCAGTATGGATCTCGGAAAGGATATAAACTTAAGCTGTGATCCATCGTAAAGACTATCAGCTATATCTGATATGTGAAGTGCTTTTAGATTTGGGCTCTCATTTCAAAATTTTCAGAACTAGCAAAATTGATTGAAATGGCAGCCTTAATTATCATTGTCATCCATTTGTGAAATCACGGAGACAAAGAAAGATAAAACGAATCAGCAGTGAATATTCGCTTGACCGCTAATATCGCTGAAAGGGATGACATCAGGGCAAGTTAATTAGCTCTCAGTATTAACTTGTTTTCTTTTGCAATTTTGTAAATTATCAAGAAAAAACAATTTTTTAAATTAGTAAAATAAACAAATCTTCTACGTAGTGTAAATGGGAACATAAAATAGTACGAGGCGTAAAATGAGTAAAAGTCACCAATTCTGTCCGGACTAGTTTGTGTTACTACGTCCGATTTAACACACGTGTTATATATCAACGCTGTATGATGTGATGTCACATGTAGACGTGAACTTATAAAGATCAGTCATCTGAAACAGAGTTAAAAGAAGGCTTTAGCAATACCACTGTGAAACAGATTGAAAGAAACACTTTTTTAAAACTTATTACCATTGCATTTTATATGCGTGTGTGACACGTAATCTTTTCTGAGAGAACATTAATTCCATTATCTAATTAAAGTATAGATCTATATTTCGTTCATTTTTTATACTTTCGATGGCCGGTTGTAGTGGGAGGTCGTGTCAGGGGTCATACAAATGACTTGATTCCATCAGTCATTCGATTAACCAATCCCAGTCGAGTGTAACCCAAGCTAATTAAAATACAGATCTATAGTTCGTTTCATTTTTTATACTCTCCATGGCCTCCACTACATTAAGATCTGACCAGTTGTAGTGGGAGGTCGTGTCGGGAGTCATATGAGCGTATTTTTACCATCAGTGTTTTAATTGGGTATTCGGAAATACAACTTTTGCTTTGATTTGTTTTCTATCTTTGTGAATGTCTACCCATAGTTCCTTGTGCCAGACGACAAGAACTTGACTCAACAGACCATTTGATTGGCTAATCCCTCACATCCACCAGAAAGCAGGTTAAAAAAAACTCTTCCATATCCTAGTGTAATAAAGACAATTAAAACAAAATTTTGAACTACAAAAAACAAAACGAAATAGGATCTGTGTTTTAATCCGATTGCCACCAGCTTGTTATACAGATCACTATAAATATAAATCATGTTTATCTATAATTGTATCGTATTGAATGTAAGAACGTTTTGATATAACAAACAGAATACAGCAATCTATTCATATTTTATTAGTAAAAATCTTATGAATGCAAATTATTATTTATTATGAATAATGGTCTTGAAATAATGCCACACCAATCTGATTTTTGTTTCTTCTGGAAAACGTGAATATTTTTCTTTTTATTTCTTCGGGAAAAAATGATTAATTTAACAAGCAAAAAAACTTTGTTCCACTGTTCAAAAGCTTTTAATCTAAAATGTTTCAGTTTTGAAATTTTAATGTGATTCAAGTGGTTATTTATATATTATGACATCGAAGAACAAAACATCAAGTTGGTGTGACCTAAAGCTGATCAGTAAAAATAGCTTTAAGATGTTATAATTATATATCAGAATAATTATAATTAGATAAATCAGAGGGAATACTGTATATCGTCAAGCTCAAACAAAAATTGACTATGTCATTTGTGAAAACAAATACGGCAGACATAATCAACGGTCCAAATTGGTTATATTTTAGACCGAATGACAGTCTGGTGCCAGACGTAATAAACGGTCAAATTGGTTATATTTTAAACCCCAATAACCCCGAATGACTGTTTGGAGAGAAATGTTACAAGAGGCCATCCTAATTTGGTCTGTTGATCATATAGAATGTGATTCAGGCTTCAAATAAAATTTCTGTACACAATGTTTTGTGTTCTTTATAAAATATGTTAAAAATGACTTGGGCATTATTTACGTTACCATGACGATATGTAAACAGTGTTCATTATTAAATGTGTTAAAAATAACTTGGGTATTATTTGCGTTAGCTTGACGATATGTAGACAAGTGTTAGATTAGATTTTAAAACAAATCAATAAAATAAACATGTGGTTATAATGTACTACGATAACATACTAAATAAATAACGATAACTTTCTAATAATTACACATTTTTTTATTTTAAAATCGACTTTATAATCCTTAATATGAACACATTGAGCAACTTTATTATCCATCAGATTGCAGTATAAAGTGAGAGAGAGAGAATTTGGGTTTAACGCCCACTCGACATAAACTAGGTCATTTCGGGACTAACATATCGTTTATTTTGATTTCAATAATTCGCTTGCGCGTAGGGGTCTTTAGCAGTGGGAGGAAATCGGAGGACCCGGAGAAAACCCACGAGGTGCAGTATAAAGTATCTTGTCTCAATTAAAGATGCATCATGTAAAATTTAGATAAAGAGCTGATCTTCTTATTATAATAGTTCAAAAATAGATAATGAAAAATGAATATATTGAAAATTTCATTCAAATTACTTTATTTTGAGCAAAGTTATGAGTGTTTGAAAATGTAGCATAGATTTTTTATTATCGTAGCAATGGCACTGGACAATCAAGAGCAAGTCTCGATTATCCATATCATTGTTAAATTTTTTAATCTCGCAGGTGTGCTAATCCATTTAAATCTCGGCCATCTGAGGGTCTAGAGAGTTGATTATAGGCTTGTCATGTGAATAAATGGCTAGATAATAGTTTATATAACATTTGAAGCCAAAAGAACGACCTGCAATAGACAGATTTGGCTCTTACATAACGCATCTTTAACATATTTCAGCAATGACATACCGGGTACTTGCTATTTTGATAAAACAAAAATTATGAAACAATAGATGTCTAGATAAATAATCCGATACTGAAATGTTACAATGAAACTGATGATCACGGTTGATGAAACTGATGATCACGTTTGATGAAACATAAAGGGTATATATCCTCCATTCTTTGGAGCCTTAAAATAGACATAAATGGGTCTAAAAGAACATTAGATATTTCATCAATCTGATTACAATACAGATCTATATTTCGTTTTGTTTTTTGTTTTACTTTCGATGGCTTACACTACATGAAGATCTGACCGGTTGTAGCGATAGGTCGTGTCAGAGGTCATACCAGCGGGTTTTGACCCTATGATGTCACACATTTGATTAATCAATCAGCATTGATGTTACTAGTGGATTACCCACAGTTCCGTGCAAAGCACGCCTAAAGCTCGTCTAACAGACCGTTTCATTGGCTAATAGCTCACATTATTCAGAACACATCAATGATAACAACTCTTTCAGATCCTAGTGTAGTAAAGACAAGTAAAACCAAATTTTGAACTATAAAAACGAAACAGGATCTGTGTTTTAATCTGATTGGAAATTTCATATCATTCAAAAAGTCTATCATTAGAAACAAATTCTTCAACAACCCAGGTATTTGTGGGTAGAATAAAGAGCACATGCTTTGCCATTCAAATATACTTGGTGCTGATATCTAATTTATCTCACGCTAAATATAAAAAATCTATTTTTTAAGCAAGATAACAGTATTGATAGGTAAAGCCAAATTTCCTGACAAATATACATAAATATTTCGAATAAAATTACAGAATTAAAAATCCGAGATATATCGAAGCGCTTTAAAATCACAAAGGATGCATTCTCTATGGTTAGACCTTGTCAACGTTCAACAATGTTCAAGAATACACATGCATAATAGTTTACAGTTAAAAATCTCCAGTTAAAAATTATTGATCTCTTTAGATTGATTGTTCTGATTGATTTTTAAGATGTTGCATTATCTTTAATTCTTTAGCTTCTTTTTTCTTATTTCGTGATTCATATTCTAACCTGCAAAAACAAAATATTTGAAATCATAGAAATGAAATAAGGTTTAACGTCCTACTGGGCTAATGAAGATGGGCATACGTCATACAGTGTGTTATGACGGACATTTTTCCTGGATAGTGGCACTGCACTACAATTTGGAGGTTTTCACCATTTGGTTAAAGCGGGAATTTCATATTTTCTAAGAAAGTCAAAACATAATTAGTTCTATGTCTTTTACTCAATAGGTTATCAACTCACTTTTATACGACCATGGGCATTATTTCCCACCCTTCAAAATCATTGACACAGGAAAAATAACACAATTACCTCCCTTGTTTTCCTATTGCCTCCATGCATTAGCTACCTTCAAACGTTGGAATTTGAAGTTGAAAATGATATTTTTGCCAATTTCTCAGCTGGCAATAGTGAATTATAGGATTAATAGGATTATTCTTTAACAAGGTAGGATGGTTTATGGATACCATCTATTTTAAGGCTTTATTTTAATAAATTTTAAAAATATAACTTAAAAATATGAAATTGTAGCTTTAAAAGATAATAATTTGATTTCACTACATGCATTAGCTACCTTCAAACGTTGGAATTTGAAGTTGAAAATGATATTTTTGCCAATTTCTCAGCTGGCAATAGTGAATTATAGGATTAATAGGATTATTCTTTAACAAGGTAGGATGGTTTATGGATACCATCTATTTTAAGGCTTTATTTTGATAAATTTTAAAAATATAACTTAAAAATATGAAATTGTAGCTTTAAAAGATAATAATTTGATTTCACTACATATATAAAGTTAACGATGAAGAGCAATATGCACGTTTTATGTCACTTCAAGTGCACTACATATTCTTTAAGTGTTCTTTTTTAGGAGTTTAAGAAATGCTGTTGTAAAATGGGCCTACACTATTTAGACTAGACCAGGCCCCTTGTTCACAAAGCATTTTTAGGCTTAAGTTAAGAATTTACTCAACTTTCAATCACTGTTTATGAGAAATATCTTTAATTCAGAAACACAAAACTTTGCACATAATTTCTTAGCGATATATTTGAAATATTAAAACAACAGAAGTTTTATAAAGGGCTATATTTTGGTTTAAATAAGGTGAACAATTTTGAGTAAATTCTTAACTGAAGTCTCAGAATGCTTTGTGAGCTCGGGGCCAGTGCTTGCATATTTAATTTATAAGCCAAGTTAATGGTAATTTGAAATATGATCTTCAAAATTAATGACAATTATTTTCTATGATAAAGCCTATATAAGGAAAAAAACTGTAAAAGTATGAAAGTCTAAAAGTTGATCCATGTTTTTTGTGCAACAGGACTTTGGATAGAATCCGAATAAATGAGAAAGGCAAATGGGGGTTTAACGTCCACTCGACACAAACTAGGTCATTTCGGGACTAACATATGGTTCAAGGGGTCTTTAGAAGCGAGATGAAAGCGGAGAAAGCCCACTACCCTTTTCTTTGTCACGTACAAGCGGGGAATCAACACCACACTACTTGTTTCAATGACAGACCTTATGATCTAACATGCACATGTTCAATCGTTCGGCCACTCAACTCCCCTAAACATTTAACCTGAATAAAAGAAAACCAACCTATTTTTGATAATTCTATCGATTATCATTTGTGTCGTTAACAAATTCTTGCTATCAATTATTTTAAATTTTCCCTGACGTTTTGGTTCCTGGAAAAAAAACACAAAACATATTAAGGAGTATGTTGTTCATTAGTGAAACAGGAAATATTGAAAATTAGTTGACATAACACCTCGCTTCTTCATTTTTAAATTAAATCATTAAATGGCCAAACCATTCCAATCTACTTAAAATTGGAGCCACCCGATGTCATTGAGAGTTGATTATGATCTGGATAAGTTAATGAATGTCTAATTAATAATTTATACAACATTTAAGGCCTAAAGAAAGACCTGCAATAGGCAGATTTAGTTCTTTTACATAATGCCTGTTTACACAATAATTTCAGATGTTCCGAGAGAGATATGGGGTTTAACATCCACTAGACACAAACTAGGTCATTTCGTGACTAATATATGGTTCAATTTTATTTCAATAATTCGCTAGGGGTCTTTAGCAATGGGAAGAAACTGGAGGACGGGCTACCCTACTCCTTGTCACGAACAAGCGGGGAATCAAAGCCACGCCACTTGACTCAATGACAGCCCTTCTGATCTAGTGTGCACACGTAAACCATTTGGCCACCCCCCCTTCATATATTCCTGTAACATGTACAGTTTAAACCAGTTATTGTCAATCACGCTAATCAGACACAGAAATAAATTTGTTTTACGTTAAATATTTCATAACTGGAGAAGAAATCTTCCCTAATTACTATTAAAACAACTTACTGCATAAGGATCCGAACCATCCATATCAGGCATTATAGGTGTTTGGCCATGACAAACAACATCAACCTGTAATATATACATCACAAATAATCAAATATTTAAATAACGATGCACCATACGTGTTTGTTGCTAAAATATCAATTCTCACAGATTAATCCATGCTAATATTTAACATTTAATTAAGAAAACAAAATCAAAATACCAGTGCTAGATGATGTCCAGACTTATAATAATAATGGACATTTATAGAGCGCCAACATCCAGCTAGATTAGCTGCTCTGATGCGCTGTTACAACAACAACATAAAAAAAAAATAAACAAAAAAATTAAAGATCGCATGGTGGAATCGCGAAAGCTTCATAAAGATTCAGTCAGTGTTAAAACCAGGCGTATCATTAAATTTTCATGGAAAACAAAATGGTAGCAGGTTTTCTACATAGAGAGCAGTATAGATCAATGAAATTTCAATTTCACATAACTTTGTAAATACTTAATGGAACTGAACGATATTTGGACTGATATACCTATTAGTGATTCATATGTCACAATATTCTTGCTTACAATGGATTCTTATTGCACTAAAATAGCAGTGGACTTATTATATAGCGAGGAAGAGGAAAAGACACTGATGAGATTTCAATTCTATATATCTATATATTGGACGGAATTGAATCAGTTTTGGGCTGATATCCCTGTTACAGACTCAATATTTCACAATATTGTAGTTTACAAGGGATTCCTATAGCATGGCGAATGCCCGTCTTCTTTAGCCCAGGTTCGGAGCAGAACAGTAGGACGTTAAACCCCATTTCATTTCATTTCATTATATTAAAATGGTGCATCAGAACTTTAAAGATTATTTCTAGAGGGATAACATGGGTTCCTTATAATCTGAAGCGCACATGTTAAACTATTGTAACCCCCCCCCCCCCCTGCCTCCCACCCGCACCCCATGAAACAGTATATCTCACCTTAAAATGGTCCATTAATTCATTTGTAACAGAATAGGGAGCACCTATAACTACTTCTGACACATACTGAAACATTATAACAATTCAATAATACATAATAATTTAATAACACATAATAACAATTCAAAAATACATAATAACAATTCAAAAATACATAATAACAATTTAAATAATACATAATAACAATTTAAATAATACATAATAACAATTCAATAATACATAATAACAATTCAAAAATACACAACGATTACAATAGAACTTAGCAATATTTTGAAACTAATTTTTGTGATTTTCACCTTATTTAACAGATGGATGAATGCACAGATTGTTGATTGCTGGATGGACGGAACACAAAAGGCAAGCCTCAAAACAAATTTTAATAAATTCAATAGCTTCCTCAGTATTAACAATAAGTTGTTGATAGACTGAGACGGTCAATGATGAAAATCAAAAGCATCCATAAATAATTGTAGGGTGTGCAGGAGTTGGTACACATGGCTATTTTGTTGTAAATTTATCAGATCAGATCAGATCAAATCAGATCTATAAAGCTACGGACAGACGAGCCTATTCTTTTGCTTTATCGCGGCAATTTATTTATGACCGATCATGAACAGGCACACATAGCGATTGCCTAACTTCATGCTTCACAGTCGAGGCAGCCATTTTGAGATCATTTTACATCAATGGTGTCTTCAATTGGCTTATAAAAATGGTTCGCTTGACAATATATCGTCGCTCTTATATATATATATATATAAGTATTGAGAATTATGTGTTTGAAATCTGCGTTCTGTTGTTATATCTGTGGACATCAAATAATAACATTCATTTGTGATTTAATATTTCATACATATACATCAGGACACCGAACGCCATTTACATAAATGTTATTATTTGATGGCTACAGAGATAAAAACAGAACACAAATTTCAAACGCATAATTCTTAATACTTATATATATATCAGATTTGTTGGTTCGCCAGAAACGCGACGATATGCTGGACATGGACAGACAAGCAGATATGTCGGTGAATCGATCGCTGGCGTAAAATATTCGGCCGAAAATATCTAATATGCTAGATACGGGCGATTGATTGGGTGAATGGTTCTCTGAGCAGAATTGCCATTGCCGTGAATGGTCACACTGGTGATTGTCTCGATTGATTTAAAGAATCTGCGCTATAGGGCAAAAAAAAAAAAAAGTTTGTCAGCTCTAGGAATTAGGTTCATCTTAATAATAAGAAATTGTAGCCTATAGAATGAGCACGAGATGGTACATACTACATACGCCTATTGAAATGACTATGCCAAGTAATTAGCTCGGATATAATTGTCGGATCTTCACCGAATTCGATAGAGATCATCTTTATAATGATATACACACACACAATATAATTCAATCAAACAGAATCTATACATAACTGTAGCCTGTAGAGTAAGAACGGGCCAAATGTGAATGGACTGACGGACGGAAAGGTGATCACAATAATTTACACCTATACTAGGTCAGTGATGCAGACTGCCTCAACTGATAAAAAATGGAACATATTTTGAATAAATTAAACGTGAGACTTACCCTACATGCTAGAACACTTAAAACTCTTTCATGTAAATTCATTATGGGATAATTACAACCTTTATATCTATTTACTATCTGAAATAAAATCATTCGTATATACATGTATAGCAAAAGGTTTCTTTTGGAACATATACAGTAGTCATGATTTTGGTTACAGAGAGAGAGAGAGAGAGAGAGAGAGAGAGAGTTTAACCTCCATTTAACACAGCTTGGTCAGAGATGGAATTTCAACACAAGCTAGGTCACAGAGAGAGAGAGAGTTTAATGTCCATTCATACACTCATATGTCATTTTGGGATTAACATATGGTTCAATTTAAATTTAATGATTCGCTTTTACTAGGGAGAAAACCCACAAGGTTGGACAGGCTTGTAAAAGGAAATTATTTATCAGGAGTCACACTGGTTTAAAAATATAAATCACAGATAAGAAATACTGAAATGAAATGAAAATGAAATGAAATGGGGTTTAACGTCCTACTGTTCTGCTCCTATACTGGGCTAATGAAGACGGGCATACGCCATACAGTGTGCTATGAGGGAAATTTTGCCCGGACAGCGGTACCATCGCCTACTCATATATCAAATTCCAACTGCCAAGGGATCTTTTACGTGCATTCCAATGTATACACGGGATCTTGGTTTTTCGTCTCATCCGAAGAACTAATAAGAAATACTTACAGGATCTGTATGTAAACCAACTATCACAAATTCACCTTGCTCGGCAACTTTCTCCAGGAAATCCAAATGGCCCAGATATATCACAAGTTAAAGATTGTAATTATTGTACAGCATCAATCTGGTTAAAACACAGATCCTATTTTGTTTCGTTTTTATAGTTAAAAATTTTATTTTACTTGTCTTTACTACACTAGGATCTGGAAGAGTTGTAAAATGTATATAACCAGTGTTCTGAGCTGTTATGGCAAGTTTTTGGCATGAGGTGCACGGAACTGTGGGTAACCCACTGGAAACATCAATTCTGATTGGTTAATCAAATGTCTGATGTCACTTATATGACCTCTGATGTGACCTTCCACTACAACCAGTCAGATCTTCATGTAGTAGAAGCCATCAAAAGTATAAAAAAACGAAAGAAACTATAGATCTGTATTCTAATCCGAGTGAGATTGCGTAGGACCCTTGTTGAAAATGTCACTGGAGACCTTTATCTATAGTTATTCTGGTCATTGTCCATCACACTCACAAATTCAATTTGTACATGTCAGTATGGTAAATAGATAAATAGATTTATTTGGCACAAACATATACAACATAATAAGGGGCTCCTTTAATATTGGGGCCTCTGGCTGCAGCCCAGTATGGCACCCCAAGAGCAAAATCAAGTTAGGGTAATCAACAGTTGTTGTTGTTTGTATTTCAGAGGAGAGCCAAAAAAAGCTCGCCTCAATCAAGGAATTTAAAAAATCGTTCCCCTGAAAAAGCTCTCCCGATTTCGATAAGAAGAGTGATTCAGAAATTTAAGGAGAGTGATCTGATATTAAGCAGAGTGATTAGTTATGTGAATGGTTCTAAGATCAATGACTGCATGTAATGATAATAAACCCCCAATGACTATGTAAAGGAGAGTGATTTTCAGTTTTAAGGGGAGAGAAAAAAAAAACCTCCCCTCGGTCGACGTTCAGGTGAGTGGCAGGTGCTGGAGGGCGATCACTCACCATAAAAAAACAATGACTGCATCGAGCCAGCGTCTTACTCACTAATACACTGCGACTTCATCTTCTTGACAATCTAAATGAAACACCTATCAATTATAATCTAGTTTTAAATTGTGCCATTTTATTAAAAGGATATGAAAGAGATCAAATGCTCCTGCAACATAAACTATTCTATCTCCCGGTTGGGGATCTTTTCCACCTGAGAACTGGATAATTTTCCGAGATGTTGGCAAAAATTGTGAACATCCAGTCCAAGGGCTTCTTGAAAAACTGTCCTGAAATAGACATTGATTGATGAGTTTGTATCTATTCTTTCAGAAATAATTAATAATTACAGTTGCCAATGATTTCTTCTGGAAACAAATCCAAAGATTATAATTCAAGATAAATCCAAGAATTATAATTAAAGATAATTACAAAGATTATAATTAAAGATAATTCAAAAGATTATAATTAAAGATAAATCCAAGAATTATAATTAAAGATAAATCCAAGAATTATAATTAAAGATAAATCCAAGAATTATAATTAAAGATAAATCCACAAATTATAATTAAAGATAAATCCAAAGATTATAATCCAAGATAAATCCAAAGATTATAATTCAAGACCAATCCAAGAATTATAATTCAAGACCAATCCAAGAATTATAATTAAAGATAAATCCAAGAATTATAATTCAAGACCAATCCAAGAATTGTAATTAAAGATAAATCCAAGAATTACACTAAAAGATAAATCCAAGAATTGTAATTAAAGATAAATTGATTAAAGTTAATTATAAAATAATCTTAAAGTTTTTATATAAAATATCTCTAGTTTAAATTATATGATGTAGTTTACAAATGTAATATAAATTATAACACTGAAAATAAACTATTTTGACATGATATGAATATTGATTTATCTTAGAAACAGCAAACATTACTTTGATATTATTTATTGTATTTCTGTACAGTGTAACATCTATTTCAAAAGCTAAAAAGCGAAATAAATAATACTGTAAATTCTCCTTTAGTTTCTAGTTAAATTAACTTAGTACTGTATGTGCTACAACTATTTTTGTACAAGATAAATACAATTCTACTGTTAGTTTAGTTTCACTTTAAATAATCAAATTCTTAATAAATGTTATAGCTACTGGTTTGTTCATTTGTAAGATATTGTTGAAAGGAGAGGTCGCAGATTTCACAGGGTGAGCACATTGATATATGTGAATATAATTATGCAATCTGGTTATAACACAGATCTTATTTCGTTTCGTTTTTATAGTTCAAAATTTTGTTTTACTTGTCTTTACTACACTTGGATCTGGAAGACTTGTTATTTAACTTGTGTTCTGCTTGAAATGAGGGGTCAGCCAATCAAATGGTCTGTCGAATCGAGTGTTTGACCTTTTTTGCCCGGAACTGTGGGTAATCCACTAGTAACATCAATGCTGATTGGTTAATCAAATGTCTGACGTTATAGGTCAAAAGTCGGTCTTTTGACCCCTGACGTGACCTATCGTTATAACTTGTCAGATCTTCATGTAGTGTAGGTCATCGAAAGTATAAAAAACGAAACGAAATATATATCTTTATTGTAATCAGATTGTATAATTATGAAGACTAAATTATAAAAAAAAATGTTTCTGTACTAGGTCGGAAAATTTAAGAGAGAGAGAGAGTGAGAGAGTAATGTCCACTCCACACAAACTAGGTCATTTCAGGATGAACATGAACACATGGTTTAATCTTATTTCAATAATTCACTTTCATGTAGGGGTCGTCAGCAGTGGGAGGAAACTGGAGGAACCAGAGAAGACCCATGAGATTAAAGATGACCCCACTCCTGGTCACGCACATGCGGGAAATTAAAACCATGCTACTTGACTCAATAACAGACCTTATGATTTTACGTACACGCACCACTGACAAGGGGAAACCGTGTGGAAAAAATCCTAAGGAAATTTTCGAGACAACGCCGGGAGCGAACCCGAGACGTCCTGGTTATCAAGCCACAGCAGCTCCCTATATTATCTGGGACATCTCCTTTCGTGTTTCCTAGTTTTAAAGATATTGGTCGAGAAGATAGTTTTAAAGATCTATAGTAAAATAATACGATGAGAATGGTGAGGAAGGATACAAGTTATGTACTCTGCAAAAAGCACATGACACTCAGTAAATAATCTGATTGGTGGATGACTTGAGGAGGATACTTTTAGTCTGATTAAAGATACATTATAGGAGATTAGATAAAGAGCTGGCAGTTCTCACTATAATAGTTAAAGATAGGTTGCCAGACAACAAAACTTACGCCCACAGCAGTTAAATCGTCCGAGCAGTCGACAAGGGTTGTCGCATATTTATTCTTTTGTAGGTACAGTAATTAGGGGAATTTAATAGACAATTTCATACAGATGACATTATAATTTTCGGCGTTTGAGGGTTCACAAGGTTCTAAAAACTAAAACAAGGGCTGTAACTCTGGAAGTAATCTACAGAAATTGTTGAAATTCGACAGGCTTTTTCGTTTTACTTATTCAAATAATGCATATAAATTTCATACAGATCGGATGATAACTTTTGTCGTTCGAACGTTCACAAGGTTCAACAAAGTAAAACAAGGGCCATAACTCTTGAAGTAATTGACGGAAATTGCTGATATTCAATAGGCTTCTTCATTTCACTAATTTAAATGATGCATATGAATTTAATACAGATTAAGTGATAACTTTTGTCATTCAAGCATTCACAAGATTCATCCAAGTTAAACATGGGCCATTACTCTAGATGTAATTAACGGAAATTTGCTGAAACTCAATAGGCTTGTTCGTTTTACTAATTTAAACGATAAAGGGCCATAACTCTAGATGTAATTAACGGAAATTGCTGAAATTACATAGGCTTCTTTGTTTTACTAATTTAAATGATGCATAGAAATTTCATACAGATCGGTTGATAACTTTTGTCCGTTAGAGCATTCACAAAGTGCAACAAAGTGAAACAAGGGCCATAATTCCAGAAGAAATTAACGGAAGTTACTGAAATTAAATAGGCTTCTTCATCTCACTAATCCTAATCCCGGAATAGAAAAAAAAATAAAATCCCTCATTTTTAGAAAATCCAATCCTTAGTAGGAAACACACTAATGTGGCTCTCACCCAAGAGCCTAAAAATTTATTATTTTTTTTTCTTAAGAAACCAAAATACCAGAATAACACAAGCGACACCGAAGGAAGACCATCAGTGCCACCAACACCAAAAAAACAGCGAAACCAACTATGTACATAGGTTTAATGTATGGCATCTATTTTAATAAAACAAGCCAACAGTGAGGCTGATGTGCCTCACCGAAATCCCAAAATAAATAGATGACAGATATTAATTAATCGCATATTTATTTTTTTAAAAAGTATCGAGCAATCAAACTACATACTAAGTTTCATCACTCTCTATCAGATAAAATCAAAATTATCTTGTCCCAAAGCATCGACCAATGAAATTGATTAGCTCTGCTTAGTTTTAGCTCTAAATGTTAATTATTGAACTCATTCAAGACATTCACTTAATGAACATCTACATCAAGTTCAAAAATTCTACCTCAATTAAAAGCAGAGTTGTTATGTTCCAAAGTCTTGGCCAATCAAATTGCTTATCGCTCCTTAGCCTAAGCAGAAAATTTGCATCATTGAACTTAGTCAAGGTAATGATATAATGATTCTATACTCAAAGTTTCATCCCTCTCACTTAATTAAAACTAAAGTTATTGTGCCCCAAAGCATCAATCAATCAGATTGCTTATCTCTGCTTACCGTAAGCAGACAATGATCACCATTGAACTCCATCAAGGCATTGATCTAATAAACACCTATACCAAGTTTGAACACTGTAGCTCAATTAGAAAGAGAATTATTGTGTCCCAAAAAGTGTGACGGACAGACAGACCGACGGACGAACCCATTTTAATAGTCCCCTGCTTTCTTCGAAAGGTGGGGGACAACTAGAAAATATCACGAACCAAATTTTCAACATCCTAGGTGAGTGCTTACCTACAATCTCCACAACAATTACGTTCCCTAACCCTATTTACATCTCCATGACCTTGACGAAAACTGAGTTGGCGTTAACATACAGATCTAGACAGAATAATTCTCAACAACCCAGGCTATAGACCTTATCTGGTTTCCAACAGTTATTGAGCAGGAGCCATAATTATCAAATTTTTAAAGTCCCTAAATTATGCATCTACTAAGAAAGTACTTAAACCCATGAAGAATATATTAATAAATACGTCTCCGTAAGTCAAACATGGTTCACCAAAATGGAAAATCTTGGCAGTGGTTACATCAATTCTATGAGAGAGAGAAATGGGATTTAACGTCCACTCGACAAAAACTAAGTCATTTCGGGACTAACACATGGTTCAATTTTATTTCAATAATTCGCTTGCCCGTAGGGGTCTTTAGCAGTGGGTAAATAACGGAGAAAACCCACGAGGTTGGACAGGCGACCCTACTCCTTGTCACGCACAACAGGGAAATGAAATGAAATGGGGTTTAACGTCCTACTGTTCTGCTCCTATACTGGGCTAATGAAGACGGGCATACGCCATACAGTGTGTTATGAGGGAAATTTTACCCGGGCAGCGGCACTATCGCCTACTCTTATTTCGAATTCCAACTGCCAGGGGATCTTTTACGTGCATTCCAATATATACACGGGACCTCAGATTTTTGTCCCAGCCGAATGACTAGACTGCTGTCCTTATCAGGCCCTCCGTTCTCTGCACCACTGACAAGGGGAAACCACGTCGGAAAATCTAGATGAACTTTCTCGGCCAATGCAGGGATCGAACACCCGACCTCCAGGCTAGCGAGCCAGCGTCTTAACCACCTAGCCACCGTGGCTCCCGCACAACAGGGGAATTGAAACCATGTCAGTTGACCCAATGACAGACTATATGATACAGCGCGCACGTGCTAACCATTCGGCCAACCAACCCCCCTCAATTCTATAAACTTGCTTAGTAAACATGAATTTTAAAGAAATTCGAAAATTCGTATTAATGCTTTTGTGAGTTTGTGAACGATTGCCATAAAGTGTGTTTCTGCTTTTTTTGCAAGTGATGAATTAGATATTCGTTACATAAAAATATATATACACAGTAAAATAATATGACTAAAACACAGATCTTATTTCGTTTCGTTTTTTATAGTTCAAAATTTCATTTTACTTGTCTTTACTACACTAGGATCTGGAATTTCGTTTCATTTTTTATAGTTCAAAATTTCGTTTAACTTGTCTTTACTACACTAAGATCTGGAAGAGTTATATGGCCCCTGATGCGATCTTCCATTACAACCGGTCAGATCTTCATGTAGTGTAGGCCATCGAAAGTATAAAAAAAGAAACGAAATATAGATCTGTGTTTTAATCAGATTGAATAAAAATTAAAGAGAGAAACTTAAATATTAGGATTTAGGAGGGTGTAACACACTTTAAAAAGTCTATTGATTAAAATAAAAATAATAAAATCCCAATTATATTGTACACCCAGCAGCAATTTTAAATGAAATGAAATGGGGTTTACGGTCATACTGTTCTTCGCCAGCAGAGCCAATGAAGATGCCGGAAAATCCTTATAATGAACTTTCTTGGTCAATTTCAGGATGAATCATGGTGTTACGTTGTTCTCAGTTACCAATGTATAAGTGGGGCTTGTAAGAAGGACGGAGATAATCAGGAGGGCCTGACAAGGACAGCTGTCTAGTCGTTCAGATGGGGCAAAAAAACGAGGTCCTGTGTACACATTGGCGTGCACGTAAAAGAACCCTTGGCAGTTGGAATTCGATATAAGAGTAGGCCGTAGTGCCGCTGCCCGGGAAAAATTTCCCTCACAGCACACTGTATGGCGTATGCCCGTCTTCATTAGCCCCTGGTAGGAGCAGAACTGTAGGACGTTAAACCCCGTTTCATTTCATTTTCATCATAATTTTAAGTAAACACATCACGTCACACATGGGACCTCCACGTTAGTGAGACAAAGTCTTACTCAGTAAGCCACCGTGGCTCCATCAAATTTCAATCAGTTATTTAATGTTGTGAAAAGAGATGGTCGTTCTTGCTATAATAGTTTAAGAATAGATAATGAAAAATGAATACATTGAAAATTTCAGTCAAATTACTTTATTCTGACCACAGTTTGATGTTTTGACAAGATGTGACATAAGTACCCTTGCTGCGATAATTAACAAGAGAGACGGAGATATGGGTTTAACGTCAACTCACACAAACTAGGTCATTTCGGGACTAACATATGATTTAATTTTATTTCAATAATTCGGTTGCGAGTAGAGGTCTTTAGCAGTGCGAAGAAACCAGAGGACCTGGAGAAAACGCACGAAATGAAATGAAATGAAATGGGGTTTAACGTCCTACTGTTCTGCTCCTAAACTGGGCTAATGAAGACGGGCATACGCCATACAGTGTGCTATGAGAGAAATTTTGCCCGGGCAGCGGCACTATCGCCTACTCTTATATCGAATTCCAACTGCCAAGGGATCTTTTACGTGCATTGCAATGTATACACGGGACCTCGGTTTTTCGTCTCATCCGAAGGACTAGACAGCTGTCCTTGTCAGGCCCTCCGTCCTGCATCACTGACAAGGGGGAACCACGCCGGAAGAAAACGCACGAGGTTGGACAGGCGACCCTAATCCTTGTCACGTACAACCGGGGATTCGAAACCACACCAGTTGACTCAATGACAGGCCTTATGATACAGCACGCATGTGTTAACCAATCGGCAATCCAACGCCCCCCTTACTGCGATAATAAACAGGAGAGAGAGATGGGGTTTAACGTCCACTCGACACAAACTAGGTCATTTCGGGACTAACAAAGTATCCATTTTCCATTTTACAAAGATACTGTAGATAATATCTATTCCACTTAATATCTCAGCAAAACGATGTTCCAGAGAGATAATTATGGGTTTAACATTCACACGACACAAACTAGGTTATTCGTGACTAACAGTTGGAGGAAAACGGAGGACCCAAAGAAAACCCACGAGGTTGGAGAGGCGACCGACCCTACTCCTTCTCACATACAACCGGGAATTCAAAACCAGACAGACGGACAATATATTGGTGACGACAATATACATCCATTTTTAGAGGGTGTATAAGTAATATCAGTGTCAAAGATGGTGAATTACGTCTGCTGAGAACTTCTTGATGTGTGACTTTGCTATATCCTTAAAAATACATGGAACTTTTCAATAATATAATGGCTCCTTAAAACACAATATTAAACAATAAATTCTTTATAGCATCATAAAATAATATTTATTTTATAGAATATACACGTCACAATGCTATGGATTATAATTACTAAGCGACGCTTCGACTAGACCACTTGATAATGACTAGAGAAGCCTATAGTGGAAACGTCACTCAGTACTAAAAGTCATTGTATTCCATAGAATTGTCACCTGTTTATTCCAGTTCAATTACTAAATGCTATTGAAACAATTTATTTTATAGAGTTTTAAACATGCCACATAAAGGAGTAAGAAATTAAAAATATAAATATATATTATCTAATTTTCAAAATCAATAAAATCAATAAATACAAAATCAATAAAATCAATACAAAATAAAAACAAAGGGGAAGGGGAAGGAGGCATGTCAACCTTACTAATTTAACCAACTAACTAGGCTAGGGCATTTCCTGGAATTTTAACAGGATAGGGTCCATTGTAGAGACATCATCAAGTTTGGTGTAAAATCTGGGAGATTGCCCGAGAAGGGAAGGAGATATGTTACCCTTACTACTTCAACCAATTGATTAGGCCAGGGTGTGTCCTGGAAATTTAACAGGAGAGGGTCCAGGGTAGAGAAATACCCGAAAATATTATAAAATCGCAACTTTTGCCCATTCCCACTGTGGACACACTAGCGCAATCATTTTGCTGAATCAATTGGCTCCGACCAAATAAGTGGACGGCGACGCACTCGGCAAATTCTCCACCCGATTCACCAGTTGATTGCATCACCTTTCACGTCACATGATTAAACATGGCAGCGCTCGACCATGTCTACGAACAATCATGTGACTTCTCAACATCAGTGGTGATTGGCTAATGAGTTCTAAAAATTGATGAACCAGACACAATAGGTGGATATATTCAAACAATTTTTGATACGGGAAAATCATTCGTCCGAATAACACTGGATACATTTGGTGAATATCATCGCTGATTGATTCGGCTGAATTATTCGGCTAGTGTGTCCACCCAATCCACCGCTTTAGGTGCATACATGTATAGAGAGCAAGAGGTTGTTCAGGCACCCGTACTCCTTGTCACGTACAACAGCGAATTCGAACCACGCCAGTTGACTCAATGACAGACCTTAAGATAGAGCACGCCATCCAAGCCCCCCCCCCCACAATCCACATACATGTCAAGGAGTGGAGTAAGGCCCAAACAGTGCCAATGCTTTGCACGTTCATTCCTTTGACGCTATTTCAATGAACGTATTATACACAACTAGCCAATGATTTCACTGAAAATCTCATTTTGAAATAAAATGATCTGTGTATGACTTCTTGCAGCAACTGGGCTCAGAATTGTAAGGTTACAACTAGCAACTTATTAAAGGAGCAAAGTGTAAGATTTAGATCAAGAGCTGGCTGTTTTCGCTATAATATTTCAAAAATAGATAATGCAAAATGAATATTTTGAAAATTTCATTCAAATTATTTTATTTTGAGCAAAGTTAGCAATCGTTATAGTTTTGGCAAGATGTGTACATGACCATAACCACCGTACTGGTCATATTAGTCTTAGCCTCACTTCTCCATTTTTAAATTAAATCATTAAATGGCCGAACCGTTCTAATCTATTTAAAATAAGAGGTATCCGAGGGCATCGGGAGTTGATTATGGTCTGGATAAGTTAATTAATGTCTAATGGATAATATATGACATTTCAGGCCTAAAGAAAGACAGATTTAGCTCTTGAATAATGTATGCTTAACTGATTTTACTGATTGTACCATGTTGAAATGCAATGACAATGATCGTTCTAAGATTTCAAAGATGGTGGGCACCCAATGAGATAATTTGTATTGTAAGGTTGACATCGTCCATCTTTTAAATCAAAACAGTGCTTGGTATAAGACTATCAGTGTTATATATGGGTTTTAAACAGGTATTAAGCAAGTTAAATGTCTTTCATTTCATTTTACTATTAACGATTAATATGGCAAACACTTAATTAACTTATTAACAATATTGTTTGATAACGTTGAGAGAATACTATTCGAAACGAGGCCCAAATCAATCAGTAATTGTTCCTATATAAGTATATGTTATAGTTTATTGCTCTATCCAGTTACTAAATGCCTCTAAAAGATTAATATTAAAATTAATCTGTATATTTAATAGAAATAGTGAAGTCATATTCAAAGGGAAATAGTTGTTGTTATAAATCTTAATTAATGTTATGTTTTGATTGTTATATTGTTATTACTCATGGATGTTCTATAAATGTAAGGTTGTTACTCATTATTGATCATTGCTTGATAAAGATACCTGTAAGAGTATTAAAACGTTACATGTAATAAACTAAGAAGTAGTAAATCCATAAAGTTGTTTTATTATGAATTAAAATACTTTCGTTTCTCTCAGTTGTTTCTTTTAATAGGTGAATACAAGGCGTTCATTATGGACTTGGAAAATGAAATTTAATTTGAAATGGTACATACATGTACATGTAAGTATAACAATAAAATATTTCCCTACATTTACTGGTAAACCACTTTAATGGGTATTATGGGAGATTATATAAAGGGCTGACAGTTCTCGCTATAATAGTTACAAAATAGATAATGGAAAGAGAATATTTTGAAAATTTCGGTCAAATTACATTTTTACTCTGAACCAAGGAATAGGTGATATAATTATAGGCTAGCTTCATTGCAATGATAATAAACAAAGTCTTGATTATCCATTTTTACAGTAATCACATTCAGCGCAAAACGTACTTGAATCCACTAAATATCGCAAGCATCCGATGGCATCGAGAGTTGATTATGGTCTTGGTAAGTTAATTAATGTCTAATTAATAGTTTATATAACATTTCAGGTCTACAGAAAAACCTGCAATAGGCAGATTTAGCTCTTGCATAATGTATGTTTAACATGAATAAAATTCCTGTTTTTCTCTAACTTTAAACATAAAGCAATTGTATTGAAAGTTTCAGCATATTTTGTTTTCATTATCTATTTTCTAACAATTATAGTGAGAACTGTCAGCTCTTTATCTAATCTTACCTAATGTCTCTTTAATATAACTTTCAAGAATTATAAGTGAATATGATTGTTTATTGTGGGTTTGAATAAGGGGAAGTAATTTGGAGTTGTATAATATGAATGAATCAACAATGGGGTTTAACGTCCTCTTGACAGAAACTAAGTCATTTCGGGACTAACATGTAGTTCAATTTTATTTCAATAATTTGCTTGCGTGTAGGGGTCTTGAGCAATGGGACCCAGAGAAAACCTTTGAGGTTGCCAGTTTGGACAGGTGATGAGTGAATAAGGGTGTCCATGACGGGCGTTTGGATAAGGGGAAGTAATTCAGGATAGTATATAATTACAGTGTAAAGCGATAGCTCCGTCATTTGAGATTCAGCCTGCAAAATATCATACCTGTTTCATATACAAATGAACTTTTATCAACATTTAGACATATTAAAAAAAAAAATACCTGTGTTTATGGTAACCCTAGCGACCCTATGTTTAAAACACAAATTACCCACCCTAAACTTTTTTTTCTCATTTTTCAGGTTCTATAGATTTATCTTGCCAGTATTATGAGAGAGAGAGAGAGAGAGAGAGAGAGAGGGATAGAGAGAGAGAGAGAGAGAGAGAGAGAGTTTAATCTAGATAATGTAAAGGGAATTTGCTAAAATTTCAGTCAAATTGCTCCAATCTGAACTGAGATATTAGTGATTGCATATAGGGGCTAGCCTCGATCATCATTACTAAAGTCGGTAGGATAAAAAACATGGTCTCGATTATCCATTTTTTTGATTTAATTATGAATGGAAGTCGAACAGCAAATCAGAACCTAATCCAATAAACATTGCAGGTTAGCGATGCCATCAAGAGTTGATTATGGTCTGAATAAGTTGATTAATGTCTAATTAATAATTTAGATAACATTTCAGGCCTAGCTCTTGCATAATGTATATTTAGTTCTATCCAATCTTAAACCACCAACCATATAAAAAGAAAAAATAAAGATTTCTGAGCTAACGACCAATTAAACCTAAACACAGGTATTTTTTTTTATCTAGCCTCATATAAATTTCTGTTTGTCTCTTCCAATATCACGAAACATTCTTAGACTTAAGTGAAGAAATTATTCATAATTGCCTTATTTTAACTAAAATAATATAGTCCTTTATAAAACTTTTGTTGTTTTAATGTATCAAATACATCAATAAGAAACTATATGCAACGTTTTGTGTTTCTGGATCAACAGTAATTGAAAGTTGAATAAATTCTTAACTAAAGTCTGAGAATGCTTTGTGAGCTCGGGGCCAGATTGTAATAAAATAATTTACACACGATAAATATCACGATAAATATCACGAAATAAAACAATAAACATGGTATAACCACCCACCTTTCCGATAGCACCAACATGTGCTTTATCAATTTCTGCACCTTCTTTCTGATGATGTGTTTTTGTTACTAGTAACATTCTAAAATTTAAAATTTATTATTTCAGAATTAAAATTATGACACCAAGATTCAGTGGTAAACGAAATATTTTTATGGTTGTAAGTTCATTTGGTGTTTATTATTTTAAAATAAAAATCATGACACCGAAATTCAGTGGTAGTCACAATCTGATTAAACCTCAGATCCTATTTATTTTCAATTTTTTATAGTTTGAAATTTCGTTTTACTTTCTTCAAAACACTAGAATCTAGAAGAGTTGTGATATATCAGGCGTTCTGAATGATGTGAGGGATTTTGAAATGAAACGGTCTGTTACGATGAGTTCTTGGCGTGCTCTGCACATAACTGTGGGTAAACCACTAGAAACATCAACGCCGATTGATTATTCATTGTCTGGCGTCACAGGGTCAAATGCTGCTAGTATGACCCCTGATTTCCACAAGGGGGGTGGGGGGGAGAAAGAGAGAAAGAGAGAGAGAGAGATAAGGGATGGTAAAACAAGAGATTAGGGGTTTGGTGGAAAGACAAGAGATGGTAGGACAGATTAGAGGTTTACATGAGTATTATATAATTTTATAAAATCGTACCTGCCCACTAGATCTGTTGTTGATACACCTTGTGTTCGTTTACATTCCCTGAAAATAACCAACCAATCAATCAATCAATAATCCTACACATAAATATAATGTATATCATCACGATGACATTACCTCAATAAACAACATATCAAGAATATTATCACATTTTCAAGCATAGACATTAAATATTGCGGAAGGCTACAGTAGTGTCAAATCTGATATATCTAAGTATAGAGAATTACATGCTTGAAATTTGGGTGGCCACCAAATAATAACATTTATGTAAATGGCTTTCCGTGTCCTGATGTATATGTACATGTATGAAATATTAAATCACAAATAGTTTTCGAAGCTTTAGTAGCTCAATACGCAGGACGCTGGCTCGCAGTTCCCCCTTGTCAGTGGTGCAGACTTGGATCCGTGTTTACATTGGTGTGCAAATAAAAGATCCCCTGGCGGTTGGAATTTGATATAAAAGTAGGCCATAGTCCAAAATTTGCCTCATAGCACATTGTGGGGCGTATGGCCATCTTCATTAGCCCAGTTGGAGCAGAACAGTAGGACGTAAAACTCCATTTTAATTCACTACTTGGGTTTTAAGGAAATTTTGTATTAAATCTGAATCTTACTTATATCTGTTAGCCGTTTTCACTAAATGGTAGGTATCTTGTCCTTCTGCTGTCGTTGTTATATCATCTGGAGGCAGGAAAAATTATAATTTTAGAATTTCTTTACAAAACTCATACGAAAAAGAGAATGCTTTAGTCTGATCATAGACAAATTCTATTTATCATCTCATTAATTCACTATGATTAAGTCAATATTTCAAGAGAGATAGATAGAGAGAGAGAGAGAGAGAGAGAGAGAGAGAGGGGGAGAGAGTTATAACCACTTGATACAAAATAGGTAATTTTGGTACTAACATATGGCTCAATTCTATTTCAGTAATCGACTAGCACTTTGGGTCTTTAGCTGTGGGAGGTAACACAAGACCCCAGAGAAAATGAAACAAGGTTGGGCAGGCGATTCTACTCCTTGTTACAAATAAGCCGGGAATCCAAACCAAGCGACTTGACTCCATGGCAGACCTTATGATCTAAAGTGCGTGTGCTAATTATTGAAATTAAGAGAACCATAAGTCAGTCCCGAAATGACCTGGTTTGTGTCGAGTGGATGTTAAGCCATCCCTCTCCCTCTCTCTCTGGTCACAAATGCGGGGAATCGAAACAAGCCGTCTCGACTCCATGACAAAGTGCTTGTGTTAAATAAATATGTAAACAATATATCTATGTAAACAATATATGTATACGTACCTCCATGTACACAGAAATCTATATCATACTGATCCATTGTTTCTAGCGTTGTTACATACGGAGCATCTTCTATAACCTGTTGTTTAATTTCAAAATAACAATTATTTACTGCTAGTCTAGAGGTCTCATGTTCGATCCTCGTGTTTGCCGAGAAAGTTCTTCTGGATTTTCCATTGTGATTTCCCCTAGCATATGGTTTAATTTTATTTCAATAATTCGCTTGAGTGTAGGGGTCTTTAGCAGTGGGAGGAAACCGGAGGACCTGGAGAAAACCCACAAGGTTGGACAGGCTACCCTACTCTTTGTCACGTACAACCGGGGATTCGAAACCGCTATGAGGGAAATTTTTCCCGGGCAGCGGCGCTATGACCTACTCTTATATATCGAATTCCAACTGCCAAGGGATCTTTTACGTGCATGCCAATTTGTACACGGGATCTTGGTTTTCCGTCCCATCCAAACGACTAGACAGCTGTCCTTGTCAGGCCCTCCATCCTGCATCACTGACAAGGGGGAAACCACGCCGGAAAATCGGGACGAACTTTCTCGGCCAATGCAGGGATCGAACACCCAAACTCCAGACTAGCGAGCCAGCCAGGGAATTAAAACCATGCAAGTTGACTCAATGACAGACCTAATTTCTGTGCAGTGTTCTAATTGTGTTAAAATCTCATTAAAATTCTAGGTACTTGTACAGCATAGTCAAATTAACTAAATATAAAAAATTATTTTGACTAATTTGAAAGGTTCACTGCTCAACTTCAATAAATATTGTATTGATTCCCCTTCGTTGTAATATCAATTCTCAAGTTGTAGCAGCTTGTTGATGTAGAGCAACTAGATAATAAAATCGATCAAATAAAAACTAGTAAATAGTTACTGATAAAGTTATTTTAATCCAATATGCCTACATTAATATTTCATGAATCACACTAGTTTTTTACAAAGTTTAAGAAATATTCCCTTACTGTTAGTTTTTTTTTTTATTTTGAGTAAAGTCTGTATCACTACAGGCCTGGGAATGTACAGCGCAGTGAACGCTTACAGCTAGTAGCCCCAGATCCATTCACTTGATCTGATAGATGTATGTACATTTGTTGTTTGTGATGTTTTCGATGTGGTTCCCCCTTGTCAGTGATGCAGGACGGAGGGCCTGACAAGGACAGCTGTCTAGTCATTCGGATGAGACGAAAAACCGAGGTCCTGTGTACACATTGGCGTGCAAGTAAAAGATCCCTTGACAGTTGGAATTCGATATAAGAGTAGGCCGTAGCGCCGCTGTCCAGGCAAACTTTCCCTCATAGCACACTGTATGGCGTATGCTCTTCTTCATTAGCCCAGTTCGGAGCAAAACAGTAGGACGTTAAACCCCATATCTTTTGATTTTGGGTGGGGGGGGGTGGGGTGGATGGCTGAATGGTTAGCGTGCATGCGCTGTATCATAAAGTCTGTCATTGAGTCGACTGGCGTGGTTTCGAATCCCCGGTTGTAGGGTAGGGTCGCCTGTCCAACCTCATGGGTTTTCTCCGGGTCCTCCGGATTCCTCCCACTGCTAAAGACCCCTACGCGCAAGCGAATTATGTAAATAAAATTAAACCGTATGTTAGTCCCGAAATGACCTAGTTTGTGTCAAGTGGAGGTTAAACCCCATATCTTTTGATTTTGTTTGTGATGTCTGTATAGTGTGTCTTGTCCCTAGATTTGTCTTGTATATTTGTTTGTATGTGGTGCAGTCTCCCTGTACTCACTATCTACATATAACTCAAAGGTCAACAATTATACGAATATTCACATAGGAGTATAAAAAAACAAACTTTGTAACGATTACTTTGGCTTCTACCAAAATGATAGCAGAAGAGAGAGAGATCAATGTCCACTCAACAGAAACTAGGTCAATTTAGGACTAGCATATCATACAATTTTATTTGAAAGCAAGCAAGGAAATTGTTTCACGAAACAGAGTCTATAGTAATGCACGGAAATCGTGGAGGACCTTGAGAAAATCGACATGGTTAGGCGGGTGACCTTACTCTTGTCACGTACAAGTGTGGAATCGAACCTACGCCACTTGACTCAATGACAGATCTTATGATCTAAAGCCCAAGCCTTAGTCACACCCATCTCCCCCCAACACCTTTCAATTGGCATTAGCATTGATTGATTGTAAATGGTCTAAAACTGTATAATTAACTACATGAGTATTATTCTGACATACTGAGTTGTCAAGTATATCTAAAACAATGAACATCTTATCTGTAATATTATGTATTAATTTGACTTATTGCACAATGATTGACCAATGACTTATTTATAGATAAACCTATTGTATCATAGATAATGAAGTACAATTGTCCTAAAGTTGATCCTGTATCTTACATAATATTATCTTACTTCATACAATCTCTCATTACCCCAGTAACCCACATAATTATTATATTGTTTAGTACATCTCTCAATACCTTATTAACCCACAATCGTGAGATGATCTTCCTATGTATTATTATACATGTATCATTTAGTACATGAACGGTATCTTACTTCATAAATGATATTATTACCTTATTAACCCACAATTATGAGATGATCCTATGTATTATTATATTGTTTAGTACATTTATCTTACTACAATCTCTCAATAAAATAAAACCAAGTACGAACAATCCAAACCATTAGACAAAATTCGAAGTCCTAAAAAAACGGTATAGGCAAAATAGTGTAATAAGGCAAAATAGTGTAATCAGTATATGGACTGTTCACCGTGTACAAAATACACAGGTGTCCGGAAGAGTAAGCTTACCCTGCCTGGCGCCACAACCGCCATAGCTGCATCCAAACTATTAGGCGAAATCTCGGTAAAATAGCGTGATTGGTCAATGGACTATCGGTATGCAAAATGCACGTGATGAACAGTGTTAACGATGTACATGTAGTAGACTGACATTATCAGGGATAGTATACGTGTCAATTAAATACCCTATTAACCCACAAAATTGTGAGATGATCATACACTGTATGTATTATACATGTATTGTTTAGTAAATGTATCTTACTTCATTAATGATAGGCCTATTATCTTATTAAACTGCAGATTATGAGATCATCCTATGTATTATTACACTGATTATTACACTGTATAAAAGATATTACCTTATTAATCCACAAATTGTGAGATAATCATATTTATTATTGCATTGTTTATTACCTCACTGGATAACATTGCGCAATACTCTTCAAAATTAGTAGCTGTTTTTCCTTAAGTATGTGCTTATTGTTCTATCCAGTTACTCTATGCATCTAAAATATTAATCATAAAATCTATTCTTACCTCATCCACCCACTTGATGGCGCGAACCATTTTATATCTTTCTTGTTCGTTATAAACTGGTGGTCCTTTATGTTTGGATATTTCACCTATAATAAAATAAAAAAATTAATTTTATTTCATTTCATTGCAAAAATAAAATAAATAAATAAATAAATAAATAAATAAATAAATAAAAGGAATTGAAAGGAAATGAAAGGAAATGAAATAAAATTAATTTAAAATGCATGTAAAATGAAAGAATTTGAAATTTTTTCTGATATTTTGGATTGGAATCACTTCAACCAGTAAAGAAATAAAATAATAAATGAGATGGGGTTTAACGTCCTACTTTTCCTCAGTGACTGGGCTAATGAAGACGGGCATGCGCCACACAGTGTGTAATGAGAGCAAGTTTGTCCGGACAGCAGCACTACGGCTTACTCATATTTCGAATTCCAATTGTCATCAGGGGTCCTGTTATATGCACGCTGTAGTTCACAATGGGACCTCAGATTTACAACCTATCCAAATGACTAGGCACTGTTCATTGTCAGGCCCTCCATCATGCATCCCTGATAAAGTGGAACCACATCGGAAAATCCTGATGAACTTTCTTGGGTAAACACAGTGATCGAACATGGGATCTCCAGGTTAGCGAGCCAACATCTTACTCGTTAAGCCAGCATGACTCCCCTATAATGTGATTGTCGTTTGTATGTCTGTTTGTCTGTAGTCAAAATTATTGATGGAGTAATAAATATTGAGTCAATCTGATTGAAATACAGATCTATATTTCGTTTCAATTTTTCATACTTTTGATGGCCACTACTACATGAAGATCTGACCAGTTGTAGTGGAACGTTGTGTCAGAGGTCATACGAGATATTTGATTAACCAATCACTGTTGGGTTACCAACGTGTACCTCACGCTACAAATTTGTCGTAACAGACTGTTTCATTGACTTATCCCTTGCATCAACCAGAACGCCGGTTATATAACAACTCTTCCATATCCTAGTTTAATAAAGGCAGGTAAAACGAAATATTGAACTATAAAAAATGAAACGAAATAGGATCTGTATTTTAACCAGATTGATGTTGAGTTAGCTGGAAATAAAAAAAATTCCTTACTATCAGAATGTACGCCTACAGCTAAATAATCACCCATTTCTTTACCCTAAAATAAAATAAAATTACAAATAAAATAGAATTTTATTGCATCGAAACATCCTTTTAGGGCAGAGTATAAACGTAAAGGTGAATAATACAAGTACAAAATGAACGCATTAGCATTAAGGTTGACCCCTTTGACCCTTTCCCTGTGACTGAAACTTTGCTGTGAAGAGTTCCACATTTAGCGAGCCAAGCATGGTACCGAGAAAGGTTATTGCAAAGCAATGTAAACGGTTCAATTTCGTGCATTTTATCGCAGCCTGGAACAGTTCTGAGTATGGTACACTCATCACAGACAAACTATAGTATTTTGCAAGCACCAATTTGTAGGGCCTACATTGCTTTGTTTTTAAATTTAGTTGTGCGGTTTTCTTGCATAAACTTAGATGCCATCTTAAAAGTAGAAATATTTAATATTTATCAATAAAGACAAATGTTTTACCTGTCGCAAAGCATTCGCATGACCAAAATGAACCATATCAAAACTGAAAAATAAAAATGACCTTGTTAAAGCGAGAATTTCATATTTTCTAAGAAAGTCAAAATATAATTATTTCTATGTCTTTTGCTCAATAGGTTATCAACTCACTATTATACGATCATAGGCATTATTACCCACCCTTAAAAATCATTGACACAGGAAATAATAACACAATTACCTCCCTTGTTTTCCTATTCCCTCCATGTAATAGCTATGTTCAAACGTTTGAATTTGAAGTTGAAAATGATATTTTTGCCAATTTCTCAGCTGGCAATAGTGAATTATAGAATTAATAGGATTATTCTTTAACAAGGTAGGACTGTTTATGGATACCATCTATTTTAAGGCTTTATTTTAATAAATTTTAATAATATAACTTAAAAATATGAAATTGTAGCTTTAATGTTATCATGGTAAATGTATTTATAATTATCTAGTTATTATGAATAGGCTTTGGGTCAGGGAAATAAAATAGGGTTTAATAACGCCCTACATATACTGTTCTGCTCCGACTGGGCTAATGAAGACAGACATACGCCATACAGTGAGCTATGATGGAATTTTGACAGGACAGCGGCGCTATATCGAATTCCAACTGCCAAGGGTTCTGTTACATGCACGTCAATGTGAACATGTATGGGGCCATAGTTTTTTGTACCATCCGAATGACTATTTATAAGTTGTCCCTTGCCAAGCTCTCCTACAACACTGACAAGGGGGAAACAAATGAAATGAAATGGGGTTTAACGTCCTACTGTTCTGCTCCTAACCTGGGCTAATGAAGACGGACATACGCCATACAGTGTGCTATGAGGGAAATTTTGCCCGGACAGCGGCACTACGGCCTACTCTTATATCGAATTCCAACTGTCAAGGGATCTTTTACGTGCACGCCAATGTGTACACGGGACCTCGGTTTTTCGTGCCATCCGAACGACTAGACAGCTTTCCTTGTCAGCCCCTCCGTCCTGCATCACTGACAAGGGAGAACCATGCCGGAAAATCTGAATGAACTTTCTCGGCCAATGCAGGTATCGAACACCCGACCTCCAGGCTAGCGAGCTAGCGTCTTACCCACTTAGCCACGTGATCCCCAAGGGGGAAACATGATGAACTTTCTCTGTACACTGGCATCAAACACGTACAGGACCTCCTGGTTAGCAGGTAAATGTCTTACTCACTGTCGAACCAACATCGCTTCCGTTAGGTCAGTGCAGGCAATTATAAGGCTGACTAATTGAAACAATGTGTAGATCTGTCACTGTCAGGCTCTTGAGATTCATGTAGAGGCACCACAACGAAAACATACATGTATATCAGCCAAGGGGTCTAGGTCTACGGCTTTTCTGTGAGTCTGTGCGGTTAGTCCATATTTCTCGAGACTCATGGGTAAGATTTGACAGTTATGATTATATGTGTAGGCCTAGGTAATTTGCCCATGCATGAAGATTGTACGATGATATGGATAGATGGTAAGATTGTACGATGACATGGATGGATGGTTTCTCCCACTACTTCAAGTCTCAATATAATCTTGAAGTGTCAGTGTACATTAGTATCATAATATCATCAATTCAATATCCCACAGAAATATAATAGGCCTATATCATAATACAGCGGTGTAAGTGTACATCAGTATCATAATATTATCAATATCCTTCTCACTGACTCAGATATAATACACTGTATGTATCATAATACAGAATAAATTGACCTGATAAACTTTGATGCAATTAATATTAACACTATATCATCTTAATATCATATAATCTACACACTGACAGACAATCAACTTATCAAGTAGATTGAATTAAAATTTAAAAAACCGGTAAACGTCAAACTTACCATCCATCCATCCAAACTCTCACTTGTTTACGCTTCTTTTCAGTCGACATTTTAGGATTTTACTACAAGTATTTACTACGTGGCCTTCGATTAGTCGCTGCAGTTGTCAACGTTTAGTAACAGAACAACCTTATCCGGCAACAGTATACATCAACACTGATCTAAAACATGTCAAATCAGGTGATTACGAACCTATTATTTAGCCCCGATTATTCAGTCTTCTATTATTGTGAAACAGAAATAGACATTATGTCTGGATAACTAAATCTATAGTATTAACGGTAAATACAAAGCTGTTTGACAAGTTATTTTCGTATAATTTTTGTGAAACCCCGTAGTCTTAGTTTAACAGGGTTCACATTCAATTGGTGGATTCTTAAAGTAATATACCAAGATTATTGGTGACAAAAGTAATACTTGTGACAGATATTTACGTATTTAATTCCTGATGCCAAGCAGTTCCTGCAATGGATGGCTGTGGCGCGAATTTTAAGCAGGTGCGTGTTGATTTTTCTAGCTATTTATTATTACTAATTTAGTATATAGATCCATGTTTTACACGTACGTGTAGCCTATAGATATATAATATAGATAATATATATTAAGAAATGAAGTGAAATGAAATGGGGTTTAACGCCATAACATTATTATAATATATATATATAATATATGAGGAAAATTTTGCCCGGACAGTGGCACTACACTCCACATCCAATAATAATAATAATAATAATAATATCTTTATTTTCAAAGGTGAAAAATTAGGCTTAGAGCCTGTTTACAATTTTGCCCTTTATAACAAAGAAATGAAAAAGACAGTAACAGAACAAGACACTTAACAAATACTCACACACAAAACATTCAAATATATATTGATAAGCTAAATAGTTTAACTTCAAAACTAATAGTAATATGATAATCAAGCACAAGGTCTACTTTTAGTTTTATTTCAAATTCAAGTGGTCAAGGGTTCTTTTATTTATGTGCACGCCAATTACAACAAGCTAGGGACCTTGTTTTTTTTTGTCCTATGCAAAAGACTAGATACCGTTCCTTGTCAAGTCCTACTTTCTGCCTACCACTACAAGAAGGGGATATCCTGGTTAGCAAGCCAGTGTCTTACTCACTGAGCCACCACAGCTCCCAGTAGTGGAAAGTCATATACCAACGAGGCAACGAACCCGGCCAGCATGGGTGAAAATATCCAATTTTTAAAAACATAGTTTAATTAAGCTACTGCACCAAAAAGCACCATTCTTTGTAAGGTTCAATAGTGAACAAACAATTTTCTTGTTTAGGCCTATATATGCGACGGGATATTCCAGCGGGGTTTCACAAGGCTGGTGCATGACAGAGGATCTGGCAACTAGGGCAGCACCTAGTTGTTTGGATGGGACAGTAAACCAGAGCAAAGGTCCTGTTAGTTGGAAAGGAGCTCTTTTTCCCCTTATCAGAGCACACATTGGCCTGGTTGGTGCAGAAAAGTAGGATGTTAAACCCAATTTAATATCATTTATATCAAATTAAGTCTCCACAATTTCATTTTCATTGGGTTCTTAAGGTTTTGCGAATAATTATGTTCCAGTGTGCAGATCCAGATTTTCCGGGGTAGTTCCCCTTTGTCGGTGACGCAGCACGGAGGGCCTGACCTGTCTAGTCGTTCAAATGGGAGGAAAAGCTGAGGTCCCGTGTACACATTGACGTGCAAGGAAATTGTTTCATGACAGTTGGAATTCGATATAAGAGTAGGCTGTAGTGCTGCTGCCCGGGCAAAATTGCCCTCATAGCACACTGTATGGCGTATGCCCCTTTTCATTTCATTTTCCAGGGTGCCGTTTTTTAATTCTAATATAAAGGTGGTGTTTTTATTTATGTCTATTATGATAAACAGCTTTTTTTTTCAGAAAACTGTGCAGAATATTTTACAAGAGCACTTCAAAGATGAAAAAACTAAAAGTTTGTTACCCCTTTTTTTTTTTTATTAAATTTAGTTCTAACGTATTAAAATGGATAAACATGTCCAACATTGTCAACACCAAAACCAAAATTAACTTTTATGATATTTAGTGATGTAGGACGGAGGGTCTAACACGGACAGGGGGGGGGGGGTTGGATGGCCGAGTTGTTAGCTTGCGTGCGCTGTATCATACGGTCTGTCATTCAGAGTCAACTGGTGGGGTTTCGATTCCCTGGTTGTACGTGACAAGGAGTAGGGTCACCTGTCCAACCTCGTGGGTTTTCTCCGGGTCCTCTGGTTTCCTCCCACTGCTAAAGACCCCTACGCGCAAGCGAATTATTGAAATAAAATTGAACCATGTGTTAGTCCCGAAATGACCTAGTTTGTGTCGAGTGGACGTTAAACCCCATCTCTCTCTCTCTCTCTAACAAGGACAGCACCTAGTTGTCGGAAGGGATGAAAGAAAAACAAGATCTCATGGACACGTTGTTTGTTGGAGTGCATGTAAAAGAACCCTTGACAGTTGGAATTCAATTGCTATCCAAGTAAAATTTACCTCATAGCACACTGAATCTCATTCACTCATTCAATTAATCACTGCCTTGCCGCGAAAGTTCATCAGGATTTTCTGGCGTGGTTTCCCCTCTTCAGAGTGTTGGACGGAGACTCAGAGAGTCTGGCAAAGGGCAATGTATAGTGGTTCGGATGGGATGTAAAACTGAGATACCATGTCGGCCAGAAGCCGTGAAAGTTGGAATTCAAAATAGCACAGCTGTTTGGCATATGCCCGTCTTCATTACCCCAATAGGAGCAGAACAGTAGGATGTTAACAGGGGCGGATTGGGGCCGGGAACCGGGCTCTCCCCCATGAAAATTTTGAAAAATGAACCCCAAATATGCGATTTGGTGGCATATCTGATTATAATCTCTGTCAAATAATATATCTCATAAATCGAGTAATTTAGGCCAAAACCCCGACCTGCAAGTAATTTACATCCATCAACCTGTGAAATTATCATATCGTCATATTATTAATTAACCTTTTTATCATTGTATCGTCAAGACCAGCTATCATCAAATTTTGCCGAGGCCTTAAAATTGAAATTATTTTTGGAGTTACGAACCAACGGCAGACGTTTCTGGTGACAGTTTCGGGTGAATCCGATGAAATTTTCGGATGAAATTTGGAATCCCCATTGCAGGATTCCGAATTCCGGCCCACACCCAGCACACCCGGCCCAGAAAGTCTATTATACCAGCCCAATCCAGATTCCAGTGATGGCATGGCGGCCCGTTAAAGCCACCGGCCACATACAACTTGATCATCATCGCTCCATGGCCGGTCCAATCAGGTTTTTTTTAGACGAATTGGACAAAAAAATTTTTTTTTCATTTTTTGTCCGACCGACCCTTCGTCCGATGGCCCAATCCGCCCCTGGATGTTAAACCAAATTTCTTGTCATTAATTATTAGCTTTGAAGACTGGACAAATGGCTGAACAATATTCAAGATGTTAGAGAGAGAGAAAATTGTGGCTTAACGTCCACTTGACACAAACTAGGTCATTTCAGTACTAACACATGGTTTAATTTTTATACGCCCACATGGAAATCATGGAAATGTGGTCGTATATTGCCGTCGCCTCCGTTCGTCCATCGTCCACAATTTCTTGTGAACGCTCTAACGCCAAAAGTTATCATCCAATTGTTTTAAAAATGATATATGTTGTTTACATTAGTGAGATGAAGAAGCCTATTTAATTTTAATAATTTCCGTTTTTAACGTCTAGAGTTATGGCCCCTGTTTCCCTTTGTTGAACCTTGTGAACGCTCTAATGCCAAAAGTTATCGTCCGATCTATGTGAAATTTAAATTCAATATTTAAATTAGGGAAAAGAAGAAGGCTATTGATTTTCAGCAATTTCCGTTTATTACTTCTAGAGTTATGGCCCTTGTTTCACTTTGTTTAACCTTGTGAACACTCTAACCCCAAAAGTTATCATCCTATCTTTCTGAAATTTATATGCATTATTTAAATTAGTGAAACGAAGAAGCCTATTTAATTTCAATAATTTCCGTTTATAATGTCTAGAGTTATGGCCCTTGTTTCACTTTGTTGAACCTTGTGAACGCTCTAATGCCAAAAGTTAACATCCGATCTTTGTGAAATTTATATGAAGTATTTAAATTAGGGAAACGAAGAGGCCTATTGAATTTCAGCAATTTCCGTTGATTACTTCTAGAGTTATGGCCCTTGTTTCACTTTGTTTAACCTTGTGAACGCTCTAACCCCAAAAGTTATCATCCTATCTTTCTGAAATTTATATGAATTATTTAAATTAGTGAAATGAAGAAGCCTTTTGAATTTCAGCAATTTCTGTGTATTATGTCTAGAGTTATGGCCCTTATTTCACTTTATTGAACCTTTTGAACGCTCTAACGCCAAAAGTTATCATCCGATCTTTCTGAAATTTATATGCATTATTTAAATAAGTGAAACAAAGAAGCTTATTGAATTTCAGCAATTTCTGTCTATTACGTCTAGAGTTATGGCCCTTGTTTCACTTTATTGAACTTTGTGAATGCCCTAACATCAAAAGTTATATGCTGATCTGTATGAAATTTACGTGCGTCATTTAAATTAGTAAAGAGAAGAATCCTATTGAATTTCAGCAATTTCCGTTTATTACTTCTAGAGTTGTTGCCCTTGTTTGACTTTGTTCAACCTTGTTAATGCTCGATTGATGAAAGTTATCATCCAATATGTATGAAATTTATATGCATCATTTAAATTTGTGAAACGAAAAAGCCTGTCAAATTTCAACAATTTCTGTAGATTACTTCCAGAGTTGAGACCCTTGTTTTAATTTGTAGAACCTTGTGAACCCTCAAACAGCAAAAATTATAATCTGATCTGTATGGAACTGTCTTGTAAAGGCCCCCAATTACCTACAAAAGAATAAATATGCGACGACCCTTGTCGGCCGCTTGAATGATTTAGCCGCTGTGGGCGTATGTTTCGTTGCCTGGCAACCTATCTTTCTTCAATAAACCAACGAGGTTGGACAGGCGACCCTACTCCCTGTCACTTACCACCGGTGAATCAAAACCATGCTAGTTGACTCAATGACAGACCTTATGATACAGCGCCAACCATTCGGCCATCATTCGGGATGTTAAGTATGCATCAGTTGTTCTTACAAGACATTACAAATTTTGGAAATAATTATTTTAAAATATTTATTTCAGTAAATACAGATGCTGTTAAGCTAGTAACAGAAGTAGCAAGAATATTTGTGCTAGGTAATTTCAGATTTTATTTTAAACGGATTCAGGGAACCGAATATTGAGTGCAGAAGTCATGAAAATATTTAGCAAGGCCGATCTTGATTATATTTTGTATAATAAAACTGCTTAATTTTTGATAAAGGCCCTTAACCCTTAACCGGTCGACGTCATTTGACGTTATGACGTCAAGTAGTCAGGCTAAATAAAGGCTGACGTGAAATATTTTGTATGCCTATTTCAATCAACTACTGCCGAATAATTATAAGTGATAGACTCTTGACACCAATAAAAAAGTTGCTGGGGATAAGTTGATCTATAATTTGCAAATCATTCTAAATCCTTTTCATCTGAATCGGTGTCATCGATATAATCAGAATAATTCATAAGTATTTCAACCACTTCGAGCGTCTTAAACGTTTCCGACACCATTAAAATACGTTTTTCGTCAAAAAATGTTGAACAAAGACATGTTTTTCTCAATGCCCTTGACAAGACAAGTTCCTGTCTGACACGCATGCGTGGCCATATCAATTAAATACGAAACTAAATACTCAAATGCGGCTTATAAAAAAGGTTTTTGCTGTGGTCGACTTTAGTCAACCGTGACCACTTAGCTGTATAACATTTTGGTGACTATAGTCGACAATGACCGGTTAAAGATACATTATGTAAGATTTAGACAAAGAACTAGCCATTCTTGCTATAATAGTTTGAAAGTAGATAATGTAAAATGAACAATTACTCTATTCAAATTACTCTATTGCAAGCGAAGATATTAGCCTTTGAAGGTTTGACAGACGTGTGCAATAATTTCAACCACCGTACTGGTTGATCGAAGCTAAGTCTCGGTCCTCCATATTAAATCAAAGTATCGCTGAACCATTCTAATCTATTTAATATTGGGGAAATCTGATGCCATCGAGAATTGATTAAGGCCTGGATCAGTTAATTAATGTCTAATTAATACTTTAGATAACATTTCAGGCCTAAAGAAAGACCTGCAATAGGCAGATTTAGCTCTTGCATAATGCATGTTTAAGGGTTAAAATCCTTTACCTTAGGGCCAAGCAACTTACGCAATATACGTTTTCAAACAACTTTTAAACCCACCAGTCTTCATCTGGAAATGTAGACCGGTGTCCCAAGCTGTTTTATACGGTGTCTGGATAAAACCAGACTCTTTTTATAAAATTTTTATGAAATTTATCTTGGGTCATGCACTGTAAAGACCTCCAAATTGACCCAAAATCTTAAGAGAGGTAAATGTCCCGATTTTGACATTCACGTTTAAACGACTCAATATTTTGAGCTGAAATTTTGAGACAAGGTAAATACACCATACCTCTATATTTTGGTACTTAAATTTCATACGTGCTCAGACCTTTTTTTTTGAGACTCAGGATAGTCCCTTTAAATTAACAATTTTACACTCATATGGAATAGATTTAGCTTGTCGTTTTTCTTTTTTGTATAATTTTGTCTGTTTTATTTACAGAGGCATCAACGAGAGCAGCTATTCAAGCAAAGGTACAGCATCAAATAAATACAAAACGATTGTTGTTAATGTCGTAACTAGACACAATTCATGCATCCATTATTTATTTGTAATTTTAAGATCAATATTCTAAAAACTAAATCATTTAAGACAACAAAAGGGGGGTGGGGGAATGAGATGTGGATTAATGTCCTACTGTTATGCTTTCACTGGGTTAATGAAGACTGGTATACGCCATACAGTGTGCTATGAGGGAAAATTTGCCCGGGCAGCAGTGCTACAGCCTACTCTTATATCAAATTCTGACAAGGGATCTTTTACGTGTACGCCAATGTAACAAAAGGGGAACTACAAGTGTAGAAGGCGGTGGGTGGATGGCCGAAGGGTTAGCGTGTGCGCGCTGTATCATCGAGTCAACTGGCATGGTTTTGATTCCCCGGTTGTACGTGACAAGGAGTAGGGTCACCTGTCCAACCTCCGGTTTCCACCAACTGTTAAAAAACCCTACGCGCAAGCGAATTATTGAAATAAACTGAACCAGTTTGTATCAGTATCAAGTGGACATTAAATTCCATCTCTCTCTCTCTCTCTCTCTCTCTCTCTCTCTCTATCTCTAACAAGTGTAGAAATCCTTCAATGTATATTTATTTTTTTTAGAAGGATATGTCTGATGAAGTTATGATTGATCATTTTGAGAAAATATTACCTCAGTTGGTAAGTGATTGACAGCTTGCTGGACGGTATTGTCATTACTGATTTTAAAAATGACTGTTTATAAGATCAGGGGCCTTATTCACGGACAAGAAACAACAAGCGTTTTTGTGTTGGTATCATCCAAAGTATTGCAAAAAGTGATTGACAAAGAATGATATCTTCCTTGAGCAGCATCTAGCAATTTACACACCTAATAAACTCATAAACATGATATGGAACACAATTAATATTTTAAATAAAGGGACGCTTCGTTGAGGGTTCTCTCAACCTTTTCAAGCAAAAATTAAATTAAATATATATGTACTAAATGTAGTCACTGTATTGCGTATGCAGGTCTTCATTTAAGCTCTTATGTTGTTTGGGTTGGATGGCTGAATGGTTAGCGTGCGCGCGCTGTATCATAAAGTCTGTCATTGAGTCGACTGGCGTGGTTTCGAATCCCCGGTTGTACGTGGCAAGGAGTAGGGTCGCCTGTCCAACCTCGTGGGTTTTCTCCGGGTCCTCCGGTTTCCTCCCACTGCTAAAGACCCCTACACGCAAGCGAATTATGTAAATAAAGTTCAACCATATGTTAGTCCCGAAATGACCTAGTTTGTGTCGAGTGGACGTTAAACCCCATTTCTCTCTCTCTTATGTTGTTTATATCGGTGAGACGAAGAAGCCTACTGGAATTTATGTTAACTATTTTTAGAGTTATGGCCCTTGTTTCACTCTGTAACATTTTGTGAAATTTATCATCTGTATTAAATTTATGTGCATTATTCAAATTAGTGAAACGATGAAGCCTGTTCCTTTAATTACTTCCAGAGTTATGGGCCTTGTTCTTTGTATTACCAGTATCTTGTTAGTGTCTTGGAAATGCTCCCATTACCTACAAAAGAATAAATATACGATAACCGGTGCTAGGACTGCTGCTGTGGGCCTATGTCTGGTGGGGGGTTGGATGGCTGAATGGTCAGCACTTGTGCGCTGTATCATAAGGTCTGTCATTGAGTCAACTGGTGTGGTTTTGATTCCCCGGGTGTACTGCTAAAGATCCCTATGTGCAAGCTAATTAATGAAATAAAATTGAACCATATGTTAGTCTCAAAATGACCTAGTTTTGTCTATTGGACGTTAAACCCTATTTCTCTCTCCCTATGTTTTGTTGGCTAGCAATCCATCTTTTTCTATTGGCGACCAGACATGTTCAAGGTTTGTATCATATTTGATTCAGAAGACAATGTATTTTATTTTTCAGTTACTTGATTTGTGATAGACTGGATCTGGAAGTTAAACACAAGACTATACTAAGGCCATATACAAAAATATTCTGATTCTCATATAGTCGTGTGTCACTTCAATATGATTAAATTACAGATCTATATTTCGTTTTGTTTTTTTATACTTTTGATGGCCTACACTACATGAAGATTTGACTGGTTGTACTGGATGTCATGTCGGTGGTCGCACGAGCAGCTTTTGACCCTATGATGTCAGACATTGATTAACCAATCAGCATTGATGTTTCTAGGGGGTTTACTCACAGTTGCGTGCAGGGCATGCCAAATACTCACAGTAACAGACTGTTTCATTGGCCTGTAATATAACAACTCTTCCAGATCCTAGTGTAGTACAGACAAGTAAAACGAAATTTTGAACTATAAAAAACCAAATGAAATAGGATCTGTATTTTAATCAGATTGGTGTCACTTTAAAAGATCGGCAGTTAATGAAGTTACTGTAGGTAATTTGGAATTTGTTCCAACCCATATAGATTATTCACCATGTTAAGAGTATATTGTTATATTATGTTTACAAATTAAATCATGCAAAATAAAAAAAAAAATTTTTTTTGTAAGTTTAGAGTGTTAATTATCAAACTGAAAATAACCTAAAAATAATGGATTATTTGACGCTCTAATTTTCTGATGTGTTGTATTGAGTTTTATTTTTTGTGGCTGTTGTATTAGTTCCTGACTCAAGATTACATTCCTCTTTTCAAAGGTACCACCGGGGGGTTGGTTGGGCGAATGGTTAGCACGCGCGCGCTGTATCATACGGTCTGTTATTGAGCAAACTGGCGGGGTTTCGATTTCCTGGTTGTACGTGACAAGGGGTAGGGTCGCCTGTCCAACCCCATGGGTTTTCTCCGGGTCCTTCGGTTTCCTCCCACTGCTAAAGACCCCTACGCGCAAGCGAATGATTGAAATAAAATTGAACCATGTGTTAGTCCCGAAATGACCTAGTTTGTGTCAAGTGGACGTTAAACTCTCTCTCTCTCTCTCTCTCTCTATTTTAAGGTGCCATCTCCACCCAATGGGATATTTTTATTGTTCAAATTTTTTTTTAATTCCCCTGATTGTTGGTCATCTGGTTTTAACGATTCTGGTGGTATAACAAATCAGTGTTATCATACAAATTGAATGAATTGTCCTTAAAATCCTTGAGTTGCCCAAATAGGTACTTTGCTTCAAATGTTAATCCAACTTACAGTCGGAATTCTAAATAAAAGTAGTCCGCAGTGCTGCTGTCCTTGATAAAATACTCTGATGGCAAAATGTATTAGCCCAGTAGAAGCAGGTAAGAAGGACGTTAAACCACATTTCATTTCAAAATAAATGTCGTTTCATGCTTTTTGGTTCATAACTGAATGCATCATAATAATCCTTTCTTCAACTAACCCCCCCACCCCCACCCTTGAGATGACAAATATTTGGGGTGACTTAGTCAAAGATTAAGTACAAGTCAACATTCCAGAATATCACATTTTATGGTTTTCTCGAACAATGATTACCTCAATGATTAGGCTAATCAAAGTTTATAAAAATCTTAGTTTAAAATTTAGTCAGCTTTCCAGAATTTGAATGGTCAGAAAATCGGAAATTAGATCTATGATTAGCACAACTCTTCAAGATGCTGTTTTGTTTGAATTCAGAATGAAATGAATTCACGAAAAATGTTTTTATGGGGTAGCTACGTTATTTAGAAACATATGGTACAGCCTCTGTCGAAAAGGCGTGAGTTTGATAAATGGAGTTATAAAACGAAATGAGTCCGCTGGTCTTAGATGTTACACATTGAAAAGGTATACCAATTCTATCTTAACAGTGCGCGCTGTATCGTCATTGAGTCAACTGGCCTGGTTTCGAATACCCGGTTGTATGTGACAAGGAGTAGGGCCGCCTGTCCAACCTCTGAGTCCTCAGGTTTCTTCCCACTGCTAAAGATCCCTACGCACAAGCGTAGCTCTGTCAGGGGTACCCCACCACTAGAAATGTCTGTCAGAGTGTTTTTGTAATACCTGAAGATATACGGTACATTGCTGTGCGATTTTCATGTGGTACACTTTTGAGCTAATCTAGCCTAGTTGGGGATCATGGCATTTAGGGCCTGGAATACCACACCCACCACCAGAAACCCGGCAGACTTACATTTTGATGATACCAGATATACGTACATTGGTACCATATAGGAGAAAATTGGTACACTTTTCAGCTAGGTTAACCCCCTGGGCTCCTGCTCTATTTATAGCACAGATGGAATGTCTTAACAATAACCAGATATGGCCAGAGTAATTAATTGAAGATGATTTGTTAATGAGATGAAACCGTTCATTGTTAACAGGTAATGCTAATAGGCGAAGAATGTTAGTAATTTAACGCGTTCAAAGTTATGTTGTGCGAAATGTGGTATGACGTGGGGTCTGAGAGCTTGATCGATTTAGCGCACTTCTGTGATGCCACCTCCTCTCCCTGAACCAAGATTTTGAAACGTCACAGGACCCACTCTCTGGTTCAGGCCGATTCCACCCCAAACCATTATGCTTGGACCTCCCCATGAGTCTCGTTCCATGACACATTGGTCAGATTAACGCTGGCCACGTCGACGCCATTATTTTGGGCAGTTGATACGCAATACCGACTCTCATCTGTGAACTGAACAGTTCTCCATTGCCTGTGTCACCAGTTCTGTCTTGTTGGGCAAACTGTAGACGTTCACGTCGATGGCGAGGGTTGATCATCGCTCCACGGTAAGGTTTACGACAATGGATGTTCTCTGGTAAGACGTCGGGGCACTGTATCGGTACCGATGGGGATTCTGTGTGTTCCCACTGTCTGACGTGCTGTCTCAGATACCCGTGTGAAGGGATTCTGCACGTGCTGTCGCACAACATGGCGGTCTTGTCACCTTGTGGTAACCCTAGGTATACCAGTTCGGGGCGATCATTTGTGGTGTTGGTGACCCGAAAGCGTTGCTGAAGTCTGTAGATGATGTTACTTGAAGACACATTATGAGCGTCTCATTCAATATTACATTGTTTGCATAGTCTGTCAATAATTAAATAGAGTTCTCTCTCGTGAATCAATGAGTGTTGTGGTTGGAAGTGCCCTTCTAGGCCTATATAAATCGTTCCAATTTGGCTGTCAAAAAGTGGTGAATATTCTCCAGCGATTGCATGATCATGTTGAAGTGGTATGGCATCTACCAAATCCATATTCTGCTCTTGAATCAATGAGTGTTGTGGTTGGAAGTGCCCTGCTAGGCCTATATAAATCGTTCCAATTTGGCTGTCAAAAAGTGGTGAATATTCTTCAGCGATTGCATGATCAAGTGATATGGCATCTACCAAATCCATATTCTGTTCTTGAATGTCTATTAAATCCATCTTTGTGGCAGTTTCAATGCCTAGCAGTGGTGTTAAGCTTTCCTTAACAACAACAAAGTTGATTGAGTACAACTCTCCGTTCTTTGGATTAAGAACAACAGCTTGGTAGGAGCCCATCGGAGTTAATGGCGTCCTGTTCCACATAACCAAGTGATGATCAGTTTTGGATATTTTGGACTTGTCCGTTACATCCTTCATTGGAAGAATATTTGGAGTTGCTCCTGAGTCAACAAGAAACACTACAGGTGTGTTGTCAACTATCATCCGGCACTTGACTGGTATCTTGAACTTTCTGGTTGTCTCATCAACACTTTCAACAGAGCATATCCAGTCATCACCATCAGATTCAGTGTCAGTTTGATTACAGCAAAATGATTCAATCCTCCACACTTGCTGCATTTGGCACCCCATGCAGGACATAATTTCTTCTTCATAGCATGAGTATTTCCACAGGACTTACATTCAATTGTGTTTTTGGAATTCGATGAAACTTGATCTCGATCCCGTGGTCCAGGCTTGTTTTTGAAATCACAGGTTGGTCTCGGTTTCTTCCCAGATCTATACGTTGTTTTACGGCGACTAGCAACAGCGCCCACAGCCTCCGACACAGGTTTGTAAGCATCAAACTTGGCCTTTGCATTTTCAGCAACTTTACAGGTATCTATGCATTTGTCTATGGTAAGGTCTCTTTCACGAGGCAATAATTGTTGGGTTGATTTGTCTCTAATACTTAGTACAATCCTGTCTCTCAGTAGTGAAGGAGCATAATTCACACAATAGTTGCATGTCTTTATCAAAGTTCTCAATTGTGCATGAAATGTTTCAACGTGAACACTTTCCGTTACCTGTGAAGACAATCTGCACGAGCTCAGCATGTCCAGAGTGTTCTCAAAGATAGACCTTGCTTCTGGATACTGGCATGTGAAATTAGATCATGAATCTAGTTTGTTGACAACATTTCAAACATGTTTTGGAAGATTCCGATGGCTGAGATTACCATTTGGACTGTCTGTATCATCTGAGATATTCCAAAAGCAACTACTGGAAAATCTACAGGGCTTGAAAGGAGTGGCGTGTGTAGCTGATGATATCCTGGTTCATGGGGCTGATGATAAAAGTCATGATCATTGCTTAGATGCACTGCTGAAACGATGTCAGGAACGAGGTATTCGTCTCAACAAAGACAAGATGGAGATTCGCCTCAACAAAATAACCTTCCTAGGTCACACCATTACCAGCGAAGGACTGAGCACTGACCCTGAAAAATTTCGAGCGATCACAGAATTTCCAGAACCTCAAAATGTTCACGACTTGCGTCCTTTCCTAGGTATGTGTAATTACCTTGCTCGTTTCATGGAGAATCTGACGGAAGAAACGACATGTCTTCGCAATCTGACGAAGAAAAATGTTCCCTGGATCTGGAGCAAAGCTCAACAGATCGCTTTCAATAAAGTAAAGATCATGATCACCAATGTACCTGTCCTTGCATACTATGACCAGAAAGAGGAATTATGCAAGCGAACACAGTCTCGGATCTGTGATCATACAGAATGGGAAACCTATAGCCTATGCTAGCCGATCTCTCTCCGAGTCTGAAACTCGGTATGCTCAGACCGAGAAAGAGCTTGCGACAGTGTTTGGACTAGAAAAGTTCCATTGTTACACATATGGACGTCCAGTTACTGTGGTAACAGACCACAAACCTCTTGTGGCTATTCACAAGAAACCGCTATCAAAAGCTCTGACTCGTCTACAATCATTTCTGTTGAGGGCGCAGAAATATGATTTTCAGCACGAGTACAAACCTGGAAAAAGCATTCCCATGGCTGATGCCTTATCGCGTGCACCACTGAAAGAAGCACCCGAAACAGTCTGTGACACTGTGAACAATGTATCTTTTTGTCCCATTAAAGCTGATCAGCTCAATCACATAAGATGTGCAACACAACAGGACCAAACTCTTATGTCGTCTCATGGACACGATCATGAAAGGGTGGCCGAACAACAAGACTGAAGTTCACCCAGCGGTGATACCATTCTTCCCGTATCGTGACGAACTGACAGTTCAAGACAGCATCGTACTACACGGGGAAAGAGTCGTCATTTCTGCTTCACTGCGAAAAGAGATGAAAGAAAAAGTTCATGTTGGACATCTTGGAATCACTTCGTGTCTACGCAGAGCAA